ACTGGCTAGTGATTACAGTAGTAACTACTTAGACCACTCGGCCACCGAGGCCCCTATGATTTCAAACAGAACAGGTACCAGACAACGGATCTTGTACAGACACCTTGTGTCATTCTCTGTTGAACCAAGGACGTATATTAGATAAATCAACCTTGGTTGAACCAATTTACTGCTGTTCTAAAACAGCGTTTTTGTTTTACGGTTTTGATGGGTTGCTGTCTTATTGACATATCATTGCTATATACAGTATTCACTTACATCAGAGACATATATACATATGTGTGTATATGTCTCTGCTTACATAATTCTTTATAGAATGTCACTTGTATTTCATCTTTGTAGGTTGTTAGTTTTACATTGTGTGTGTGTGTACTATGTACGTACTGAATGTTTATCTATTACAAGAGGTGAAACTCTTATGAAATAATGAATCTAAATCTGAATCAATGAATCAGGAACAAGAGTTGTGTAATTACTGATTCACTGTAGAAGTCAACTTATCAATGGTAGTCTCCCTTTGCTAGATTTTTTGTTTTGCATAGAAGCTATTTATATCAATAGAAATGTTATCGGAAAAAAAAAAGATAAATCTAAAAGACAAACGTCTCCATATAATATTGGTATAAATAGGGAGGATTTGAATTTTTTTTTCTAAACGGTGGATTTAAACTGTTTTTTTAAGACATCTATGTATATAGATGAGGCTCATGTCATGTATTAAGAGGCTCTAATTTGCCATTCCTGTAAAAATCTAAGTTTTTTAATTTTTTGCTTTAATTTTCACAGGAACATTTAATCAGAGTATTAATACACAACATGAGTCTCAGATTTGCTGTTCCTGTGAAAATTAAAGCAAAAACTTAAAAACAAAACAACATGTGCATTTATTAAATTGAAATAGAACTAACCTTTAAAGAAAATAATGAGGAATTTAAATAAGAATGAAAAAATAGGACCACTAGTTTTGAAGACATAATTTGTACTGTAGCTACTGAAATAAAATGTGATTGAAAAGCAACTGATGAACACATGGTTGGTAGGATGTAAAGTCAAGAGATAACCAGAATGCCTTTCTCCCTTCAGACAAGGGTAAGGAAAATAATCACACACCGATTTATATGCAATGGTTTTATTATAAAAAATGAGGCAAAATAATTCCTTGTTAGAATTATAATAATTTAACAACACAGCACTGTTTTATATATACCTTTATATTTCAGTACTGAAAATCAATTTTAAAAGTTTCATTATTTCAATGGTTTTGCTTATAATCTTTTAAGTACATTGAAAGCAAGTGACAATCATATTTTGCATGAAGCATATTCTTGCTAAAATCCATTTCATATAAATTTTCAAAAACACAGCATTTAATTCTAATATTTACAGATCATTGAAATAACATATACATGCATAAAAAAAACATTTTAAATCTGAAAGTAAGACTTTAAACACAAAACTTTGGCAGAAATTGTCTAGTGAGTTGAAAGCAGTATCATTCCATGTGAAATTAATTATACATCATAAAGCGGAAATTTACACAATGAATATGTTAATTTCAAAATGAATAGATCCTAAAATGTTTATTAAATTTCAATAATTATTATACATGTACATCATGACATAATGATTTTTTGTTATATTTTTCTATCAATTATTCATATAAACAATATATAAAATGCACATATGAAATAAGGAGATGTGGTATGATTGCCAATGAAACAACTATCCACCAAAGTTCAAACGAAGCAATATAGGCAACCGTACAGCCTTCAATAATGAGTCAACATTAAAACATTTTGCCATTTTAAAACATAACCGCTTGCACAAAGTACAAGAATAAAGTTTAAAAATAGTGTTGAGTTATTAGGTAGGAGGAGCTAATAATTCTATAATCCAATCTATCAACAAGGTGGTGTAAAAAAAGCCACAAAAATTGATTGATGTTGCTTGCTTAACCACAAATATTGAATTAAGTGTAATATGGTAAAATTGTTAAATATATAAAAACTAATCTTTTGACTTTTTTCACAAGAAACACAATAAGAGAATACTATAAATTCAGAAAGGAGAAGGTCTGGTAAGGGCTAGTTTTGGCCTAATATTCAAAGTACATCTGACGAAAGATTTTTGACATTTTTTAAACACTTAAGTGTCTTCTTCAGGTGATTCAATTAATTTATGTAAAACATTTGAATTGATTTGGTCATTAAAGGCGCCTAAATTCAAGCTTAAATATGTACAATCTATCAAATATGCCACAAAACTTCACTTTTCAGATGTTTTTTGTCAAAAATAGAAGTAGCTGCATTCGTGTTCAGTCTCAACCTTTATATATGTTATGTATCATCATCAAATACAAGATATAATTAAATATTAAGACTGAACACAAGTGTGGCCACTTCCATTTTAGACAATAAGCACAAATGCTAAAATTGTGAAGATTTAAGTAATTTTGCATGAATTAATGATGGTAGTACCTGATGGCATGTGCATTGTATTATCAAAAACAGCCCATATTTATGTAGCAAAAGTATTTCACTTTCCAATAAATAGCTAAAAGTTTACATTTTTAACAAATTTTTGAAATGCTATATTTTGGGGCCAAAAAGGGGTCTTACCGGGCATACTCCTTTCTATGTGCTGCATCTATGTTTGCAATTGTTAACACATGGGCAGAAAGTTAAATTAATTATTACCATTTTAGTGCAGAAAATACTGCATGCAAATAATGCTATAGAAATTTAATATAGTATTTATTATTTTTGTTAAACCTATTGTTTTGCAATTTTTCACTATAACAAAAACATTACAAAAAATTATGAATTTGAAGAGGATACAGAAAAGAAGAGACATGATGCATCAATTAATTCAGACACATAATCTTACAATTCAGAATGTTACATGTGTATGTGTCCTTTTCAATTCCAGGTCACACATTGAAATACTTAATGTTCAGCGAAGTTCAGCAACTAAGCATGACAGAATCAACAAAATGAACCTGAGAAAAATTCTGAAAATGAGTCTCTTATGCATTATGACTACAGTCCAAGGCAGACTCTCAAGGCTATTATTTTAAAATAAGATTAAAAACTATTAAATTAAAATTTTTCAAGAATCTAAGAAACAATTTTTACAGACCACAAAAAAATTGGTACCCATGAAAATAATGAAACCACAGTACCTAAAAATAAAAGAGCTTCATGCATTATTTCATGATGCTTAGTTCAAAGTTTGACATGCCTACTTGAAAAAGCATAGATTCAAACAAGAAACGGTCAATAACTGGAGGTAAATTGAGACAATAATTAATACTATGGCTAGATATGGAAAATTACAATTTCTGTATACAATACCTAATAAACAATTGATTGTTTTCAATAATATTACATGAGGTTAACTTGAATCTAGGTTTACAAACATTTGTTCTCTATTACAAACAACAGCAAAAATTTAACATGTTAAAAAATATGAAATCAATTTTTGTATATAAACCTTCTATTTCATACACCATAAATTCAGAATTATAAGAAGAAGGTGATGATGTGTTAACATATTTAGTCAGTTGGTACTAGTTATACAAATCTAATATAAGACATCTTCTTTAAATATAACAATTATTTATTGGCACTACTTAATTAAAGTGGGCTTTTACTTTGCACATCTCATTGTACTAAATGATAAAAATATTATTCCTTTTTATTTTTTTATTTTTTTTTACATTTATCATTTAATATAATGAATTTAAAAAAATTGTGTTGTTTTGATTGATGTTTCCACAAATACTTTGTAAATCAATTTAATTTTCTTCGAGTCTCATGTTGCTCATTTTTATTATATAAATATTTTATATGTCAAAAAGTTATTTGTAAACATGATAGGTCTGATGTAAGTTCTGACATCTAACAACAGAACATTTTGTTTACTTTTTGTTTATGTTGAGTATAAATACAACTGGTAATTTTTATTGAACTTTGACCACTTATTCATATTATTTTGTGATTTTAAGACGCTGCTATGGAAGGTAAACTACTGGTTTGTTACTCAACAACTTGTTGACAGAGCATGTAAAAAAGATACCACAACAGAATGTAAGGGATTATCTCCTCAGTCTAACCTTTAGCTCATGTTATATATATATATATATATATATATATATTCATTACACAACATTTTTCAGTTTTTCATACTAACTTTGAGGTCAGTTATATTATTCCAAGGGTACAGACATAGAGAATTTATCAATTGCTGACAAGAATGGACACCTGGGGTTTGATAGAGGATGTAATACAAAGAATAATATAGATATTATCCCCTCAGTCTGATTATTCCTTTTAAACAAGAAATCTATCTATAGGACGTACATGTCAATTACTTTTTAGAGGGTGTAACAAAAAGGCCATGAAGAATATTAGATATAAACTCCTCAGTGTGAGCTCTAGCTCAAGTGATATTTATTTTGAGATATAAATTTATTATACAACATTGTTCAGTTTATCATATTCACTTTGAGGACAGTTGTATTATTCCAAGTGTACAGACAAAGAGAATTCATCAATTGCTGATGAGAATGGACACCTGGGGCTGTGTCCACTGATACTTGATAGAGGATGTAAAACAAAGAATAATAAAGATATTATCCCCTCAGTCTGATTATTCCTTTTATGATATATGAGGTACATGTCAATTACTTGATAGAGGGTGTAACAAAAGTGCTATTCATGATGTGTTTAATATACATTTTGTGACAAAATTTTTACACAACATTGTTCAGTTTATTTCTCTAGTTATGAGGTCGGTTATATTATTTTAAAGTAAGGAGCATAAAAAACTTAATAATTGCTGCTGATAAAGACAGCTGCAGTTTACTCAACTACTCCTTGACAGACAGTGTAAAAAAGAGGCCACATAGAATGTAAGATGTTACCTCCTCAGTTTGCTGATGAGAAAGGACACCTGGAGGTATGTAGACTTCTACTTGATAGAGGATGTAAAAACATGTATGATATTTGATTATTCCATTTATTACAGAAACTTAATCTTGATACATGTGATATATGAGGTACATGTCAATTACTTGATAGAGGGTGTAACAAAAGTGCTATTCATGACCACTAGCTGATGTTTTTAATATATATTTTGTGACAAAATTTTTTACATAACATTGTTCAGTTTATTACTCTTGTTATGAGGTCAGTTATATTATTTTAAAGTAAGGAGCATAAAAAATTTAATAATAGCTGCTGATAAAGAAAGCTGCAGTTTACTCAACTACTCCTTGACAGACAGTGTAAAAAAGAGGCCACATAGAATGTAAGATGTTACCTCCTCAGTTTGCTGATGAAAAAGGACACCTGGGGGTATGTCAACTTCTACTTGATAGAGGATGTAAAAACATGTATGATATTTGATTATTCCATTTATTACAGAAACTTAATCTTGATACATGTGATATATGAGGTACATGTCAATTACTTGATAGAGGGTGTAACAAAAGTGCTATTCAAGACCACTAGCTGATGTGTTGAATATACATTTTGTGACAAAAATTTTTACATAACATTATTCAGTTTATTACTCTTGTTATGAGGTCAGTTATATTATTTTAAAGTAAGGAGCATAAAAAAATTTAATAGTAGCTGCTGATAAAGAAAGCTGCAGTTTACTCAACTACTCCTTGACATACGGTGTAAAAAAGAGGCCACAAAGAATGTAAGATGTTACCTCCTCAGTTTGCTGAGAAAGGACACCTGGAGGTATGTCGACTTCTACTTGATAGAGGATGTAAAAACATGTATGATATTTGATTATTCCATTTATAACAGAAACTTAATCTTGATACATGTGATATATGAGGTACATGTCAATTACTTGATAGAGGGTGTAACAAAAGTTCTATTCATGACCACTAGCTGATGTTTTTAATATATATTTTGTGACAAAATGTTTTTACATAACATTGTTCAGTTTATTACTCTTGTTATGAGGTCAGTTATATTATTTTAAAGTAAGGAGCATAAAAAAATTTAATAGTAGCTGCTGATAAAGAAAGCTGCAGTTTACTCAACTACTCCTTGACATACGGTGTAAAAAAGAGGCCACAAAGAATGTAAGATGTTACCTCCTCAGTTTGCTGAGAAAGGACACCTGGAGGTATGTCGACTTCTACTTGATAGAGGATGTAAAAACATGTATGATATTTGATTATTCCATTTATAACAGAAACTTAATCTTGATACATGTGATATATGAGGTACATGTCAATTACTTGATAGAGGGTGTAACAATAGTGCTATTCATGACCACTAGCTGATGTTTTTAATATATATTTTGTGACAAAATGTTTTTACATAACATTGTTCAGATTATTACTCTAGTTATGAGGTCAGTTATATTATTTTAAAGTAAGGAGCATAAAAAATTTAATAATAGCTGCTGATAAAGAAAGCTGCAGTTTACTCAACTACTCCTTGACATACGGTGTAAAAAAGAGGCCACAAAGAATGTAAGATGTTACCTCCTCAGTTTGCTGATGAGAAAGGACACCTGGAGGTATGTAGACTTCTACTTGATAGAGGATGTAAAAACATGTATGATATTTGATTATTCCATTTATTACAGAAACTTAATCTTGATACATGTGATATATGAGGTACATGTCAATTACTTGATAGAGGGTGTAACAAAAGTGCTATTCATGACCACTAGCTGATGTTTTTAATATATATTTTGTGACAAAATGTTTTTACATAACATTGTTCAGATTATTACTCTAGTTATGAGGTCAGTTATATTATTTTAAAGTAAGGAGCATAAAAAATTTAATAATAGCTGCTGATAAAGAAAGCTGCAGTTTACTCAACTACTCCTTGACATACGGTGTAAAAAAGAGGCCACAAAGAATGTAAGATGTTACCTCCTCAGTTTGCTGATGAGAAAGGACACCTGGAGGTATGTAGACTTCTACTTGATAGAGGATGTAAAAACATGTATGATATTTGATTATTCCATTTATTAAGGAAACTTAATCTTGATACATGTGATATATGAGGTACATGCCAATTACTTGATAGAGGGTGTAACAAAAGTGCTATTTATGACCACTAGCTGATGTGTTGAATATACATTTTGTGACAAAATTTTTTACATAACATTGTTCAGTTTATTACTCTTGTTATGAGGTCAGTTATATTATTTTAAAGTAAGGAGCATAAAAAATTTAATAATTGCTGCTGATAAAGACAGCTGCAGTTTACTCAACTACTACTGGACAGAGGGTGTAAAAAAGAGGCCACAAAGAATGTAAGATGTTTCCTCCTCATTCTAATCGCAAGATAATGTGATATTTACTTTGTTAAAAATATTTAATACACTAGATTCTTTATTTGATCACACTAATTTTAGGGTAACTTATATTATATCAAGGCTATGAGCATGGAAAAGTTAAAGATTGTTGCGGATAAAGTAGACTTGTAGTTTACACATCTTCAACTTGATAGAAGATATCAGAAAGAGGCCACAAAGAATGCAAGATATTCCCGCCTCATACTAATCACTTGCTGATATGATATTTATTTTGTGATATATATTTATTATACAACATTGTTCAGTTTATCACATTCATTTTAATTATTTCAAGGATACAAACATAGAGAATTTATCAATTACTAATGAGAATGGACAACTGCAGGTGTGTTGACTAATACTTGATATAGGATATAACAACACGGCCACAAAGAATGTAAAATATTACCTACTTATTTTGATCGCTTGCTCATGTGATATTCATATTGTGGTAAATATTTATTACACAATATTGTTCAGTTCATTACACTATATTGACTAATTTTGAGGTCAGTTATATTATTTTAATGTTATGAACATAGAAAAGTTAAAGAATTCTGCTTAGAAAAGAAACCTGCAGTAAAATACATCTACTCCTTTATAGAGGATGTCAGAAAGGGACCACAAAGAATGTAAGATATTATCTCCTCACTAGATCATATGATATTTCCTTTGTGATAAATATAGTGTTAGTTTACTACACTGGTTTTGAGGTCAGTTATATTATTTCAATGTTATGAGCATAGAAAATTTAATGACTGCTGCTGATAAAAGACAGCTGCAGGTTACTCCAAGACAGAGGATGTAAGATATTACCTCCTCATTCTGGCCACTAGCTAATGTTTTATTTACTTTGTGAAAAATATTTATTACTCATTTAGCTTATCACACTAATTTTGAAGCCATTTATATTATTAAATGACTATGAGCATAGAAAAGTTAACGATAGCTGCTGAGAAAAGAGAACTGTAGTTTACACAAAAGATGTCAGAAAGAGACCACAAAGAATGTAAATATCCTCATTCTGATCACTAGCTCATTTGATTAGATTTGGGATAATTATTTATTACACAACATTGTTCAGTTTATTACACTTATCATGAAGTTATTTATATCATTTTAAGGCCATGAGCATGGAAAAGTTAACAATTGCTGCGCAGAAAAGAAACTTGCAGTTTACACATCTATTCCTTGATAGAGGATGTCAGAAGGAGGCCACACATAATGCAACATATCACCTCCTCATTCTGATCACTTGCTGATGTGATATATATTTTGTGATACATATGTATTATACAACATTGTTTAGTTTTTCATATTAATTCCTTTAAGGATAAATGATATTATTTCAAGGATACAAACAAAGAGAATTTATCAATTGCTAATGAGAATGGACAACTGCAGGTGTGTCGACTAATACTAGATATAGGACATAATAAACGGGGCCACAAAGAATGTAAGATATTATCTCTTCGTTCTGATCACTAGCTAATGTAATATCTACTTTGTGAAAAATATTTATTACTTGTTCAGCTTATCACACAAATCTTGAAGCCATTTATATTATTTTAAGGTCATGAGCATAGAAAAGTTAATGATTGCTGCTTAGAAAATAGACCTGCAGTTTACACATCTACTCCTTGATAGAGGATGTCAGAAAAAGGCCACAAAGAATGCAAGATATTACTGCCTCATTCTGATCACTAGCTCAAGTGATATATATTTTGTGATACATATTTATTATACAATATTGTTCAGTTTATCACATTCATTCCTATAAGGTCAATTATATTATTTCAAAGATACAAACATAGAAAATTTATCAATTGCTATTGAGAATGGACAACTGCAGGTGTGTCAATTCATACTTAATAGAGGATATCATAAAGCGGCCACAAAGAATGTAAGATATTACCTCCTTATTCTGATCACTAGCTCATGTGATATATATTTTTTGATAAATATTTATGACACAACATTATTCAGTTTATTAGTTTTTATTATGAGGTCAATTATATTATTTTAAGGGTAGGAGCAGGAAAAAGTTAACGATGGTTGCCGAGAAAAGACACCAGGCGGTAACTCGATTGATAATTGATAAAGGATGTCACATAGGGTCCACAAAGAATATTAGATACATTCCTTCTGTCCTATTTATTCTTATGTTAGAGAAATCTTTATAATTGAAGTACAAGTCAAATACTAAATGATGAAGAATGTAAACAACAGTCCATGTGTAAAGAATGTTTGATGTTATCCCTAAGTCTGATTATTCCTTTTATTAGAGAAATCTTTATATCTGATGTACAAGAGCCACTTTTTAGTCTAAACCAACCACTAAGTTCATTCAAATCATGATTAATTATTACTTTTAAGTTTTAAATGTTGGACCTAATGGTGTATCATCAGCAAACAGTCAAGCAGCCAGTGAAAGTAGATTTTTGTCAATATCAGTTATACACAGAGGGGAACTAAAAAGGACCAAAAAAAGATCCATAGTGTACAACAGCAAAAAAAATAGACAATAAAATAATTTCTAATAACTACAATGTACATTTTTTTTAAAAGATAATTTTTAAACTGTGAAAGAAAATTTCCATTTCCTCCAAATGTTTCATTTTATGCATAGAAATCTGTTTTCTTTGAAAAAAGATAATTCTAAAGCTATGAAAGAAAATTACCATATGTATTTGTTCCAAATGATTTTTTTTTACTATAGGTCAATTATGCCATACTTAAAGAAAAAGAAAAAAATTTAAAAACCACAGAATAAGTAACAGCTGAATTCTTCCTTTTCAAGAAAATTCAATATAGTGTTTTACAGTTCAATTAGTTGATGTATAGCTGAATGCTTAGGTGAAAACCCTGACTGATACTCAAAGATGAGTTTGCTTCTAAGCAGATGGTTATAAATATATTTGTGGACTACAGTCCTTAGTACTTTTCGTTCACAGCTAATTTGGGATATACATGTATGTGTATATTAGAACTTACATTTGGAAAAGCTTTAGCCCAAGACTGTGCAATGGTCCTGAAGATGGCCAATGCCTTTTCTTAAATATGATATCTGTAACCATATTCTCAAAATTAAATTTTGATAGTTTAAAAATGCCAATGTACAATAAATCTACATTTGCCACTATATCAGTGGCATATAAAATTATATATTTTTACATGTACAGTAGTAATTTTGCCATTCTTCAATAATTTTACCATTACCATTTTAACAGAAATTTTAATTTTACATCTTGTACATAAACTTTACTTTTGCAACTTAACATGCTTAATAAAGTACAGTAATTTTACAATAGTTATTTGTACAGTATGTATCTTGTTTAAAAAATGAAACACAAGTCAACCAACGCCTGGTAAATCTTCTGTCAGTAGATTCCATAAAGTGGATACCTCAGGTATGTTTAAAAAATGATCTACAATATACTGTGGATTCATTTATACTGTAAATTCGGAAATTATTGCGATTTTTGAAAAACGGACAAAAATGCGAGATTAATTATCAGGAAAATCTGCATACAGGTATATGTATAAGATATAAGAATGCGAGTTCTTATTATTGCGATACTCACTCAGTCGCATTATTCGCATCAATAAAAACCTCGCAATAATTTCTGAATTTACAGTATTCAGAAGTAAGTATTTTCATGGATGATATGATAAGTGAGAAATACTTTTAAATTTTATACATTTTGAAAAAAAATAAATGATACCATGAAATTAGGTCTCAATTAATTGCAATTTTTTCTTAACCACAAAAAAAGATACCATTGAAGATAAATGAAACCACAACACTCCTATGTACCATTGAAGATAAATGAAACCACAACACTCCTATGTTCTCAAGCTCGATACAATTGAAGATAAATGAAACCACAACACTCCTATGGTCTCAAGCTCGATACCATTGAAGATAAATGAAACCACAACACTCCTATGTTCTCAAGCTCGATACCATTGAAGATAAATGAAACCACAACACTCCTTTGTTCTCAAGCTCGATACCATTGAAGATAAATGAAACCACAACACTCCTATGTTCTCAAGCTTATATGCCACATTATTTTCTATGCCTGCACATGCTTGACCATATTTAAATAGTTTTCCATTGCATTGTGTTTAAGTGTTCCACAGATTTCTGGATTAATTTTCATTTGATCTATGTACCATTCAGCCCCTGAATTTGAATTAACTCCAGTATTTCCAACTGGATTCTGATTGAAAGCATCAATTGCAGTTCTTCAGAAAAGGCATGTTCAATATGCATAATGTGTTCAGTTTGTGAATTGTCTTGAGACAAATTTTCAACTGATTCAATGCAATAAAAAGTTTCAACTGAATTTCAACTTGGGACAATTCAGGGTTGTGCATTTGTAACTGAATTGTCAACTGATTCTAAATTAACACTGTTTTCAGACGACATGTTCACAGAAAAGCTGTTCACTTGTTGTTCTGACCTTGTAGGATTATTTTCTCTAACTTCATCTGTTTCAATAGTTTCCAATGGGGTTTGCAAACTTTGATCTATATCAACTTCCTGTTCTGTAACAACATTTTCTATTGGGACATTTTCCCCATGATTTTGAATTTGTTCACCTTCCTGTCCAGGTGAATCTTCTGCAAGATTTTGAACTGGTACTTCTTCCTGTCCTGACACATCTTCTGCATGATTTTGAACTGGTTCCTCTGGTTCCTCATCTGCTTGATCCTGATCTCTTTGTTCTTCAGATAAAAGAGAGGTAATGTCTCCTATAGTGAGGGAATTTTCCTCTGTATCATGACTAGTAGCTTTGGTCTCTATAGACTTTAACATGCTGTACATCTTTTGTTCAATTGTAGCTCTTACTAGAAATCTGTGGACTTCTGTAGGTCTGAAAAATTATATGTAGTTAAAAATGTAAGGAAATATCTAAATAGCAACTCTTTTACACCTATAAATGCCTTTTTCTCATGCAGGTTGTTCTTATACCAAATAGGGCATTGATGTCAAACTATAGCAGTTGTATAGGTATTTATATACAGAGTATATATACCTATTCACCTCTTGGTAGTGTTTATGGGAAAATTGAAAATAATTTTTTTTTTATGATGATTTTGTCAGACTATTTTCGGGCCTTTAGATGTCTGTCTTTGGATTTATTGTGATAATGAGTCTAAATGATGTATATAGAACACCATTTTAGCCCTTTCAAAAAATAAATGGGGAATGTGTCCATAGGACACAGATGATGCCCTCACTTGCATATAACATTATAAAGGGACATAACTCAAGAATGGTAAAAGTGACGCTACCAAAATTTGTACTTGATCTGAGTTTTGTGGTAATAAGCATTGTGTAAAAGTTTCGTAATATTTGGTTGAGGCCAACACAAGTTAGACAAGAGGCTGTCAGAGTGACAGCAAACCAGATTTTCCTGCAGAGGTTGAACCCTGAACAGTTGAGCAAGTATGGACACTACATTTAAGCTTAAAACAGCTCTGAATTTGGATTGTGATTGAATATTTGACACAGTATAGGTTTGTGACACAAAATGAATGTGGTTTAAGAACTGAAATACTTGAAATTGGACATTTAAATACCTATTATGGTCCAATATCAAAAATCTAAGTACATAATATAAATCAATTGCTTAAAAAAGCAATTGTAAACGGTCTTTCCCCTTCTGAAACATGATTGATTGATTGATATATGTGTATGTTTGTTTGTTTGTTTCTTTCTTTCTTTGAAAGGTCCATATTAGTGTGTTGGTTAAGTTTCTATATTTAGTTTGGAAAGTTTTTATTCTATTTTAGGTCCCGCGCGCGTCTTTGTCTCGCGCCAGATTGTGGCGTCACGTGACGAAGCTTTATAATAGCGAAAACTTAGTATTTTTATTTCTTTTTAGGTGGGGACGTTGGACAGACAACATGTATAGCGATGGAATTTACACAATGTATTTCTTTTGTCGTTGTAGGTAATTGACATTTCGATCACAGTTCACGAGCAGTGCATGCTTTGGATTTAATTGATCCTGTGTAACTTTAAAACACGTTTATCGATTATTTTCATACAATGTACATTTTTCAGCAGCAGTTTGTAACACAGATTTGTATTTCAATCTAGGAGCGGACATTTTATTGTAGGATTTAACTGAGATTTACGGAGCTAGCAAGCGATTTTTACGGCATTGCAATTTCTTTTCTCTAGGAAAATTCTTGAAAGATATCTGCACCACATTGTTTTATGAAGATGTAATACATGTATAGCCTGCTGACTGCAAATGTTGGGGTCAATTGGACATGTAGTTTCCCAGAACATCGGATAACAAGCATGTGGATTTTTTTTTTCAGAAGAGATGTAAATACAATATTATACACATGAGACGGAAACATGCATACAATGAATGAATGAATGATTGATTGGTTGGTTGGTTGGTTTATTGATTGATTGATTGATTGACTGAGTAATTAATTAATTGGTTGGTTAGTTGGTTGATTGATTGATTTGTTGATTGGTTGGTTGATTAAACACGTGGGATAGGGTCTCTTGAAACAAGCGAAAAAAGAAACAAAGGAAATCTTGGACCCCGTATTAAACACATGGGACGGAAACATGCACACAATGAATGATTGGTTGGTTGGTTTATGGATTGATTGATTGATTGATTGGTTGGTTGGTTGGTTGGTTGGTTAGTTAATTTAACATGTGGGATATGGTCTCTTGAAACAAGCGAAAAAGAAACAAATGAGATCTTGGACCCCATATTAAACACAAGAGACAGAAACATGCATGCAATGATTGATTGACTGATTGGTTGATTGATTGATTGATTGATTGGTTGGTTGGTTGGTTGGTTGGTTGGTTGGTTAACACAGAGAACGGATTCACTTTGATCATGCAAAAACGGAATAGAAAGCCTAAATACTATATCTTAACACATGGGATTTATCATTTGAGAGATCACTTAACAAGTATTAAGGTTAAAGGTCAATGTCAACCTACAAAAGCATTAAAACACACATCAAACTCTTTAAATAGTGCCAAAAACACATAATTTGCCTCTTTGTACATGACCTTGACATTTGACCTTGACCTATATTTTCAAGTTATGGTCCAATGATTTCAAATCAAAAGACCCTAGGTCTTTATAACTTACGGTTCATGAGATTCATATGCATATTGAAAAGTAAAATATTCAAGGGGAAATAATTCCTATAAGAAGTCACTGGATCGCTTCGGTTAAAATTATTTAAAGTTGCGACATGTGGCAAGGAACATTTCAAAAAAAACCATTTGCCGGTAACTCTTATAGTTTATGAAGAGTAGCGATAACAATGATTTTTGTAATTGGGGAGATAACTCCTATAAGGTAAATAGTACACTTTGGTGCCCCTAATACAAGATAGATTTTATTAACCCGATACTTAATACCAAAGATCATTTGTATCTGTCGCGTACTTTTTTTGGCTTTTGACTTTGAAATCGGACGAGGAAAAAGAATAATAATAATAATAAACAAACGAAATACAGTAAGGTCTTTCCATTAAGAAAGGAAAGACCTTAATAAATATAAATCAATTGCTTAAAAAAGCAATTGTAAACGGTCTTTCCCCTTCTGAAACATGATTGATTGATTGATATATGTGTATGTTTGTTTGTTTGTTTCTTTCTTTCTTTGAAAGGTCCATATTAGTGTGTTGGTTAAGTTTCTATATTTAGTTTGGAAAGTTTTTATTCTATTTTAGGTCCCGCGCGCGTCTTTGTCTCGCGCCAGATTGTGGCGTCACGTGACGAAGCTTTATAATAGCGAAAACTTAGTATTTTTATTTCTTTTTAGGTGGGGACGTTGGACAGACAACATGTATAGCGATGGAATTTACACAATGTATTTCTTTTGTCGTTGTAGGTAATTGACATTTCGATCACAGTTCACGAGCAGTGCATGCTTTGGATTTAATTGATCCTGTGTAACTTTAAAACACGTTTATCGATTATTTTCATACAATGTACATTTTTCAGCAGCAGTTTGTAACACAGATTTGTATTTCAATCTAGGAGCGGACATTTTATTGTAGGATTTAACTGAGATTTACGGAGCTAGCAAGCGATTTTTACGGCATTGCAATTTCTTTTCTCTAGGAAAATTCTTGAAAGATATCTGCACCACATTGTTTTATGAAGATGTAATACATGTATAGCCTGCTGACTGCAAATGTTGGGGTCAATTGGACATGTAGTTTCCCAGAACATCGGATAACAAGCATGTGGATTTTTTTTTTCAGAAGAGATGTAAATACAATATTATACACATGAGACGGAAACATGCATACAATGAATGAATGAATGATTGATTGGTTGGTTGGTTGGTTTATTGATTGATTGATTGATTGACTGAGTAATTAATTAATTGGTTGGTTAGTTGGTTGATTGATTGATTTGTTGATTGGTTGGTTGATTAAACACGTGGGATAGGGTCTCTTGAAACAAGCGAAAAAAGAAACAAAGGAAATCTTGGACCCCGTATTAAACACATGGGACGGAAACATGCACACAATGAATGATTGGTTGGTTGGTTTATGGATTGATTGATTGATTGATTGGTTGGTTGGTTGGTTGGTTGGTTAGTTAATTTAACATGTGGGATATGGTCTCTTGAAACAAGCGAAAAAGAAACAAATGAGATCTTGGACCCCATATTAAACACAAGAGACAGAAACATGCATGCAATGATTGATTGACTGATTGGTTGATTGATTGATTGATTGATTGGTTGGTTGGTTGGTTGGTTGGTTGGTTGGTTAACACAGAGAACGGATTCACTTTGATCATGCAAAAACGGAATAGAAAGCCTAAATACTATATCTTAACACATGGGATTTATCATTTGAGAGATCACTTAACAAGTATTAAGGTTAAAGGTCAATGTCAACCTACAAAAGCATTAAAACACACATCAAACTCTTTAAATAGTGCCAAAAACACATAATTTGCCTCTTTGTACATGACCTTGACATTTGACCTTGACCTATATTTTCAAGTTATGGTCCAATGATTTCAAATCAAAAGACCCTAGGTCTTTATAACTTACGGTTCATGAGATTCATATGCATATTGAAAAGTAAAATATTCAAGGGGAAATAATTCCTATAAGAAGTCACTGGATCGCTTCGGTTAAAATTATTTAAAGTTGCGACATGTGGCAAGGAACATTTCAAAAAAAACCATTTGCCGGTAACTCTTATAGTTTATGAAGAGTAGCGATAACAATGATTTTTGTAATTGGGGAGATAACTCCTATAAGGTAAATAGTACACTTTGGTGCCCCTAATACAAGATAGATTTTATTAACCCGATACTTAATACCAAAGATCATTTGTATCTGTCGCGTACTTTTTTTGGCTTTTGACTTTGAAATCGGACGAGGAAAAAGAATAATAATAATAATAAACAAACGAAATACAGTAAGGTCTTTCCATTAAGAAAGGAAAGACCTTAATTAGAATCAGCATATCAAAGAACCCCAAGAATTCAATTTTTGATGAAATCAGACAAAAGTTTAATTTACGACCCTTTGGTCCTCAATGTGGACCAATTGGATAAAGGAGCCCACAATCCAAAATCTCTCAATACATGGTTAGATTCAGCATTTCAAAGAACCCCATCAATTATTTTTTTGTTGAATCAAACAAAGTTTAATTTTGGACCCTGATTTGGACCAACTTGAAAACTGGGCACAAAAATCTAATATTTAAATACAGGTTTAGATTCAGCATTTGAAAGAACCCTATATATATTTAATTTATGTTGAAATGAAACACAGTTTAATTTTATCCATAATATTTTCTGTGCAAAGGGAAATAACTCAAACTGGATATGATGCAATTTTTCAAATAATAATCAATAATATAATAACAACAACCAGTGATGACTAAGTTCTCTAAAATTAGATATGATTTAACACTCAAACATTGTTAGAATCAGCATATCAAAGAAGCAAAGAATTCAATTTTTGATGAAATTAATCAAAAGTGTAATTTAGGACCCTTTGGACCTCAATGTGGTATTATCTTATTAATAATGAAAAGAAATACAGGTTTAGATTAAGCATTTCAAAGAACCCTATATATATTCAATTTATGTTGTAATCAAACACAGTTTAATTTTGGACCCCAATTTGGACCAACTTGAAAAGTGGGCCCAAAATCAGAAATCTAAATATATGTTTATTAATAGACAATATAAGCTTAGTTTTTAAAGGAGTTTACTTCATAAAAAAAAATATATAGCATTCAGAAAATTAGTTTTTACAGAATAACAAACAAACTTGCCACAAAATTCTACAAACAATTTACCAAAGAAAAGAAGAAAAAAATCCAAAATTTGATTTATCATTAATACAATGTCATTTCAAAATCTATAAAACTTAGCAGTAACAAGAAATAATTGTAACAGAATGCTGTTACGAAGTCTCCCAAAGAAAGACCCCCATGGACTTCCTCTATATTTCATTTGATTTGTTTTATTGTCCCATACAAGAATATATATGGTTTAGGGGTGGGGATCTTGACCGTTTACAAGTTTTCAAAAAGAAAGGGGGTGAGGGTGACTCCCATGGACTTCCCCTATATTTCATTTGATTTGTGTTATTGTCCCATACAAGAATATATATGGTTTAGGGGTGGGGATCTCGACTGTTTACAAGTTCCTAAACAGGAGGGGGTGGGGTTGACCCCCAGGGGACTCACCTTATATTTCATTTGATTTATTTTATTGTCCCATACAAGAATATATATGGTTTTGGGGTGGGGATCTTGACCGTTTACAAGTTTTCAAAAAAAGGGGGTGGGGTGACCCCAGGGGACCCCCCCCTCCCACCTCAATTTCATTTGATTTGTTTTATTGTCCCATTCAAGAATATATATGGTTTAGGGGTGGGGATCTCGACTGTTTACAAGTTATCAAAAAGAAGAGGGGTGGGGTGACCCCAGGGGACTCGCCTTGTATTTGACTTGATTTGATTTATTGTCCCATACAAGAATTTATTTGGTTTCTGGGTGGAGATTTTGACTGTTTAAAAGTTTTCAAAAAAAAGGGGGGTGGGGTGACCCCAGGGGACTCCCCCTCAATTTCATTTGATTTGTTTTATTGTCCCATTCAAGAATACATGATTTAGGGGTGGGATCTCGCCTGTTTACAAGTTATCAAAAAGAAGGGGGGTGGGAGTGACCCCCATGGACTTCCCCTATATATCATTTGATTTGTTTTATTGTCCCATTCAAGAATATATATGGTTTAGGGGTGGGGATCTCGACAGTTTACAAGTTCTTAAACAGGATGGGGTGGGGTGACCCCAGGGGACTCGCCTTTTATTTCATTAGATTTGTTTTATTGTCCCATACAAGAATATATATGGTTTCGGGGTGGGGATCTTGACCGTTTACAAGATTTCAAAAAGAAGGAGGGTGGGGGTGACCCCCATGGACTTCCCCTATATTTCATTTGATTTGTGTTATTGTCCCGTACAAGAATATATATGGTTTAGGGGTGGGGATCTCGACAGTTTTCAAGTTCTCAAACAGGAAGGGGTGGGGGTGACCCCAGAGGACTCACCTTTTATTTCATTTGATTTGTTTTGTTGTCACATACAGGAATATATATGGTTTCAGGGTTGGGATCTTGACCGTTTACAAGTTTTCAAAAAGTAGGGGGTGGGGGTGAACCCGGGGACTCCCCAAATATTTCCAGATATAACCCAGATCTAATTAATAATTAATAATGTAATTAACTTCAAAATGTCTAATAATATAGCTTATAATCATTACCACTTAGAAATAGATAATTTTCAAATAAATCTGTCACTCCAATATTTTGTTGTGAGATAAGACATTATGCTTAGTCATAAAAAAGATAACAAGAGTAAAATATTTAAAAATTCCACTTTTGGATATTAAAAATGGCGATAACTCACAAAGGAGATATACTAATATCTTGAAAATTGAACTAGACCTTCATTAAGTCCCAGGAAACAACATATTTAAATTTGAAAAAAATTTGTTAAAGCATTTTCATGTTATTCTGCTGACAAACAGTTTGGCAGCCGGCCGATCCGCCCAGCCGCCCGCTGTATGTCACCATTTCAATAACCGATATTTCCTTCGAAAATCCGGTTAAAAATGGAAACGAAAAATTCAGCAATATTTCCATTTGTAACGGGGCATAACTCTAGAACGGTAAAAGTGACGCCACCAAAATTCAAACTTGATCTGTGTTTTGTGGTAATAAGCATTGTGTATCAGTTTCATAACATTTGGTTGAGGCAAACTAAAGTTAAAGGAAACAAAAAATTCAGTAATTTTTCCATTTGTAAAGGGGCATAACTCTAGAACGGTACAAGTGATGCCACCGAAATTCAAACTTCATCTGTGTTTTGTGGTTATAAGCATTGTGTATAAGATTCATAACATTTGGTCAAGGCAAACTAAAGTTAGAGAATGGAAACCAATTTTGGGACGTAAGGGATCATAGATTTATTCTTACGAGGAAGCTCCGAGCATGCTCGGAGGATGCTCGGAGCCTTTTCAGTAGGCTCTTCTCTGCAGTTTATGTGAAAATAATTATCATGATCCATTAAGATGTCAATCAAATCTACACCACTTCTATAATAAGGAAAGTAGAGTATTATAGAGGAAGCTCAATTAACACCTGTGTAAACATCTAATCTATTCAAATACATTTTGCCTGAAATTTTACAAAACTATAGAATAGATTAGAAATTCTTCAACAGTACTGTGTAATGCTTTTAAAGAAATCTCAAGTCTCCACAAAAAGTGAAAGTCATTTAACAAAAAATATACAATTATTATATTTTTAAAATAATCATTTCTTTTTTTATGATAAAAAAATTTCTCAAATTTTATAATTAGATGATATGATTTAAATATAGTTTATATTATATAATATGCTACATAAAAGTTATCAAGACACAAACAACAGTCAGGGGGCGATACTAAACAAGTTATTTTTTTAGTTACTTATATTAATAGGTATTTTTTGTTTTTTAAAATTATTTGATATAAACTCAATAGTTATTTTAAATGACAAAAGTGGACTAAATGTAGTTTTTAAGAATTTTTTCATCATTTCATTAAGTAAAATTAAGTATTTATCCAACTTGAGATGAGTATAGAGAGATTACTTTAAAAATAATGACAAAAATATTACTTTTATAAATTATTTTATACATCTTCGAAAAACTAAGCATACTTACAATTATTTAAGGAACATATGTAATTGTTTTTGATAAAGATTTCAAATTATAAATAACTTCAAGTCTTAATTAAATCACAAAGTTCCATCCATTTATATTTGTTCATCTCTAAGATTTTAAAGGAAAATGTTATTTTAATAGCCCCAAGAGACCAATCTATGACCAAGAAGTGTGGCATCAGAAAGGCAATTAGTGTTTCAGGAGGATTTAAATAGTTTTATACTGCATGGGGAAAATAACCAGATGTGAAAATTTGTTAAAGTTTGTAAAACCTGTATGAATGGACACCTATAGAAATAATATTAACAGAAGTTACTTATTCATGATATATTAGTAATATTTGAAACAACCTTGTTTTCAATATAACTTGTATAAGTAATTTTGAAAATATATCAAATAATTTAAAAAAACAAAAAATACCTATTAATATATATTAAGTAACTAAAAAAAATAACTTGTTTAGTATCGCCCCCTGACTGTTGTTTGTGTCTTGATAACTTTTATGTAGCATATTATATAATATAAACTATATTTAAATCATATCATCTAATTATAAAATTTGAGAATTTTTTTTATTATAAAAAAAGAAATGATTAATAAATATAATAATTGTATATTTTTTGTTAAATGACTTTCACCTTTTTGTGGAGACTTGAGATTTCTTTCCAAGCATTACACAGTACTGTTGAAGAAATTCTTATCTTTTCTATAATTTGTAAAATGTCATGCAAAATGTTTTTGAATAGATCAGTTGTTTACACAGGTGTTAATTGAGCTTCCTCTATAATGCTTTACTTTCCTTATTATAGAAGTGGTGTAGATTTGATTGACATCTTAATGGATCATGATAATTATTTTCACATAAACTGCAGAGAAGAGCCTACTGAAAAAGCTCCGAGCATCCTCCGAGCATGCTCGGAGCTTCCTCGTAAGAATAAATCTATGATCCCTAAGGACGGACGTAAGGACGGACGTACAGACGGACAAGGGTAAAACTTAATGCCCCTCTGCTACGGCGGGGGCATAAAAAACAACAACAATAAAATATCTATACAATATCTTTATGTTATATCATTTTCTATACTTCTGAATAAAAGGGTTGAGAAAATGTAAATATTAGATAAGGCTTGGTGTTACACTGAGGTCATCAAAGTCATCTCATAAGTGAAATTTGCCAGATTTTAGCAAAAATATACAATTTTTCATTAACTTCTATGCTAAATTACCATAGACCATACATAAGAGTTTCTGTGCAGAGTAAGTTCTTTGATAAGCTTACCTAGTTTGCCCAATCCTACACCATACATAAGAGTTTCTGTGCAGAGTAAGTTCTTTGATAAGCTTACCTAGTTTGTCCAATCCTATGAACACGACCAATGGCCTGGAGTTCCTGCGCAGGGTTAAGAATCGGTTCTACTAGGATAACATAAGTAGCCTCTATCAGATTCAAACCATTAGATCCTGACTGTATGGGAAGCAGTAAGGCTGTTATGTGTTTGTCTTCTTTAAATGATGCCAAATTTTGCTTCAAAAATAAAATTTTACAACTAATAAAATACATATACATACCTATAAATGTATTAACAACTGGGCCCACTACACTTTAATTTAATTTTCTTTTAATAAAACACATAACAAAGACTATGACAGCCCATAGTTATTTTTTTCCTTGAGGATAGTTTATGTAGATTTTCCAATTACTAGGCAGGGATATATGGACATTTGACAGTTACTGAATTCAGTTTTTTATTGTCCGCTGTTTTTTTTTACCAAAATTAAGATTGCCGAGCAGGGGTGCGGATTATAGATTACAATAAACAAGAAATAGGAGAAAACTTGATTCCGTGATGTTTTATTACATCCTCCTTATTTCTTTTCAAAACTTTTAATTTACCTAATCCATATTAATATGCAATTTTTATTAAAAAAATCCAAAATTAACTGATACGTATCAAAATCAAATGCTTTCTTTTCATAGCATGGCATAACTTAAAACAAGAATCCGCTTGTTAACACTGCTTCGAAAAAAGTAAAGAAATCAGACGGGTACCAGCTTACACATAACGATGAATAAACTACAAAATGTAATCAGTTATTCGTTCTGTTTTGGTGTTTCATACTGCTGCCTGTGTTCAGTTTTAGCTAAAGGTCCTTCAAACATTAGCGTGATGAATATATCTGACAGTATTTTACTAAAGGACAGAATTGTTTTCGTTTTAAAGTCGTATTTTTCAGTGATATCTATTATGTACAGATTTTTTTCTGAATTCCCGTAGTCGAAAAGGGGGGTTGGGACAATGTACCATTGCGGACTTATATATAGTATATACAGTATATAACTTGATGTTTTGGTTCATTTGTAATTTCATATTTTTCAGACCTACATAAGCAGTGGGAGTGATATTGACCCACTGGTAGTTAATAACATGTCCTATAAATATTCCACATTAGAAAAGATGGTACCAAACCATTTGATGATTAATCCATTAAAACAATACTGTAAATTCTGAATAAATAATCAGTGCTATATCTGTATATGCTGTAGTAGCATACCATTTCAATAAACTTTTTAAATTATTGACTGATTACCTTGCCACATTATTAATACTTCACATTACTTTCTGAATTTACAGCAACTCAATATATAATAATGACATTACCATGCAGATGAAGAAGAGAGTGAAATTAGTGCCAAAACAGAATGAAATGTTATTCAAATCTTCCCTTCAGACATTTCTGTTGTAGGGAGACCTGCTTTTTTAATATTCTGACAATTTGACACCAATAAGAATCTTAAGATTGATATTACTAAATACCTGAAATTTAGCCCCATGATACAACATTCTGTGTTCTACATTGTTTTCTGTAAGCGCTGTAGATAAAACATTCAGTACATCTGTCCACTGAAACAAATTATTACTTTCTATCAAGATAAATTAAATATTATTATGAATTAATGAAAATGATTTGAATAGTATAATTATTACTCCTGCTTGAAGTTGTCACTCCATTTAGAAGACAACCCTTTGTATATACACATATGCTTAACATCTGTAATCATGAATGGAAATTTCATTGGTATTTAATCATGTTAATATTAAATGAAGTGCAAGGTTAACACCATATACAAATTGAAAAATTGTCTTTGCCTATTCAGTTGTCTTCTTGTATCATGTAGTCTTTTATTGATTTGAATTTTTTCTTTTAAAAATGTGCAATAGAATAATATGCTGCTAACATAATGAACATTTAAATATAAAGCGTTCAAGAATAAGATACATTCTGTTGAAAAAAAGATGCTTCAAATCAACTTATTTTCACATCTAGCTCTTTTAGATGACCTTGGGGACATATATTTTTTTCATGACTTTCAAACATTGTTGATGTATACATATAAGAAAAGATTCAAGTTATACATCTTTGCATTATTTTTCAACTAAAAGTTGCATAACTAAATCAGTCAAGGGCGTTACTTAAACAAGTAATTTTTTTTAGTTGAATAAGTTATTTTGTACATCTATGAAAGAAACAGTAATTACTATTATTAAAGGAACATATGTAATTGTTTTGGGTTATAAATAACTTTAAGTCTTAATTAAATCACAAGTTTCTGTCTATTTATATCTGTCTACCTTCAAGATTTTCAAGGAAAATGATATTTTAATAGTCCCATGAGACCAATCTTTGACCAAGAAGCCTCTATATGAAAGATAAGTGCGTCGGAAAGGCAATTAGTGTTTCATGAGGATTAATTTCTATATTTCATGGGAAAAATAACCAGATGACTGTAAAAATTTGTTAAAGCTTGTAAAATCTGTATTAATGGACACCTAAAAAAATAATATTTAGAAAATTTACTTATATAAGTCATATTTAATATAGCCTTGTTTTCAACATTACTTGTATAGGTAATTTTTAAAGTTACTTGTTTAAGTAATGCCCCTGATTGGAAAATTACTTGGTTTATAGTACTTTCTAAGTGTTGAAAGCAGCAACATACTTACTGTAGAAAAGACGAGGATTTTTGCTTCAGGATCTTTGTGGTGAATTTTTATCATCTGCTTTACAATTCCTTGTACTTTGGTAGAATGACTGCCCTAAGATTTTAAATCAATAAAAACTGTTCAGATAAATGATAGCTGACCATAAATTATATTAATACATGTATATCAAAATGAAAACATATTTAATAATAAAAAGAAATGGATGTTAATATTTTTGTGGTAAATTGTCATAATATTTTTTTACTTTAAAAAGGCTATCATTAAAATTGATGTGATACAATGAAATCACTGATAATGGCAACTAGTTGTTCTGAAGGACAAAATCTAAATTATGCAAGTAAACAATACAAAGATTTACAGTGGCGGATCCAGAAATTTTCATAAGGGGGGGGCCCACTGACTTCCTTAGAGGGGGCCCGCTCCAGTCATGCTTCAGTGATTCCCTAAATAATCAACCAAATTTTTCCCACAAAAGGGGGGCCCAGGCCCCTTGGAAAACCCTCTAAATCCGCCTCTGATTTATATGTAAAGTAGGTGAATAATAGGAAACTCTTCTAACAGATAACAAATATCTTTTTTATATGAAGGAAGACCTATTATTAAAGACTTGAGACTTGGAATACAACTATCAAACAAATCAAAAGACGCTTCCTTGAAATTGTGCAGCTGCTTTTCATTGTGATATGAATCATCAAATTCAAAATTCAAAGAAAAGAACTTCACCAATCATCATGAATAATGTCATTAAATAGCTGTAAATGATTATAATTAAATCAAATAAAAAATTAATAGTAATTTATTACAGTAAAAAAATACCTTAACTTTAAAATTTTGGACATCATCTGAGTCTTCTGTCTTCTTGGTACTAACATAAGACACATCACTTCTGTAGGTCTTCTCTCGGCAGATGGCACATTTAACAACACGATTTCTCCCGCCAAAACTGTACTGGTCTAATAATATTCTCATACAATCCAAACAATAACAATGCCCACAATGCATCACACTCCATTCTACTCCTAATTCTCTTTGACATATGGGGCAAGGTTCTGGATTGTGTCCATCTTCATTGTCACCCTGTGTCTGAAAAAAAATTAAAAAAATTTTGGGTTGATAAAAATTATTACCATTAGGAATTTAAGTACACACAAGTAGACACAAAATGACTTCTGATTTGTTGTGGTCACTTATGAAATTTGAATTCATCTTCTATAATTTTGCTGAAGACTTTGCTAATTGTTCATTGGTTGATAGCTTTTAAAATGCCTTAAGTCATGGCAAATATCTAATGAATATTTTTGACAAGAACCAGCATATAAGTATTATTAATACATGAGATCTGAATAAATAACTGATGTAGTACATATGTGCAATTGAATAATTTTGACAAAAAATAAAAAATATCAAATACAGCAATTTCCAATTATTTTACTATTGAAGGAAAAAAATGTTTTACCATGACAGGAAAACATCTAAACAGAAAATATGTCTTAGACCAAATGTGATTCGTTTGCAAATATATAACAGTGTTCTCCTCAGAAATTTCTTGTATCATCCTGGTAAACAGGAAATTATGAAATACCATCTTGTTTCTAGAAATTATAGCATCGAATCCATAACACTATCAACAAGAAAATCATTTCAGATAACATCACATTCTAGCAATAAAACATCACATTATCATGATGCTAAACGGCCCTAGGGAGAACACTATAAAATAAGAAATGAAATGTAATAGTGAATGCTGCACATGGCAGAAATGTTTAATTAAAAGGTGCATAACTGAGAAATGTCAATATGAAAACTTGTAAATCAGATTCTAACCATGAAAGGAATTTGAAGACATGATGAGCAAGGTTTACTACCATGATAAAAGGATGTTACTGGAAAACATGATAATTCTACCTATAAACATGTGTGCATTTCAAGATTTATAAAAATGTACCAAGCTACATGTAAATACCATATATCTTCTATCTTGAGACGCAATGAACTAGTCTGTTTTCCTATGGCAACATTTTTTTTCAGTTCAAAGGGGAATAACTTTAAGAAATATAAAATCCAAGACAAAAAACATCCCAGTTACATATTGATATTAGGATATAAATTTTTATGAAAATACAATAAACTGTGCTAGAAGAGTTATTTTGATAAGGTAGCTATAGGAACTGAGCAATTTGAAAATTTGTGATTATGAAGGAGCATTATTCTTTATAAAAAATATAATGAAAAATCCTGCTATCAGTTTTCAAGCAACAACTTAAAAGTTGGTCAGGAAAGTCAGACAAAAAAAAGACTTATTTTTTTGGAAAACTTACTTTTGCTAGATTCTTTAGGTATAACAGCTGCCCAAGTTTCTTTCTCAATTCACACCTTCCTACAATTTGATCAGCCTTGAGTTTCTGTCTATGTTGGTCTATCTGTAAAATTTAAAAAAATGTACGTACAGACGGACAAGGGTAAAACTTAATGCCCCCTCTGCTACGACGGGGGCATAAAAAAAATCGTTATTTGATGCTTTGTGGCTCACATCATATTATGTGTAGAATTTAGTGCTTACTTTATTTCCATTTTTCAAAATTCAAGGAATATACAAAATCTGCTACTTGGTTTACAGTTTTAACTTGGAGCAATCTCTTCAAATAAAAATTGTACACTAAAAACATTTTGATTGGATAATAACATTCTTAACAATGAAAATTTAACCAATGACATAACAATCTTTTCATTTTGGCATAAAACTAGAGGCTCTAAAGAGCCTGTGTCGCTCACCTTGGTCTATGTGCATATCAAACAAAGGACACAGATGGATTCATGACAAAATTGTGTTTTGGTGATGGTGATGTGTTTGTAGATCTTACTTTACTGAACATTCTTGCTGCTTACAATTATCTCTATCTATAATGAACTTGGCCTAGGAGTTACAGTGGAAAATATTTTGTAAAAATTTACAAAAATTTACAAAATTTATGAAAATTGTAAAAAATTAACTATAAAGGGCAATAACTCCTTAAGGGGTCAATTGACAATTTTGGTCATGTTGACTTACTTGTAGATCTTACTTTGCTGTAAATTATTGCTGTTTACAGTTTATCTCTATCTATAATAATATTCAAGATAATTACCAAAAGCTGCAAAATTTTCTTAAAATTACCGATTCAGGGGCAGCAACCCAACAACGTGTTGCCTGATTGGTCTGAAAATTTCAGGGCAGATAGATCTTGACCTAATGAACAATTTTATCCCGTCAGATTTGCTATAAATGCTTTGGTTTCAGAGATATGAGCCGAAAACTGCATTTTACCCTATGTACTATTTTTTAGCCATGTCTGCCATCTTGGTTCGCGGGCGGGGTCATCAGACACATTTTTAAAACTAGATACCCTAATGATCATTGTGGACAAGTTTGGTTAAATTTGTCTTAGTAGTTTTAGAGGAGAAGATTTTTGTAAAAGATTACAAAAATTTACGAAAAAAGGTTAAAAATTGACTATTAAGGTCAATAACTCCTTAAGGGGTCAACTGACCATTTTGGTCAAGTTGACTTATTTGTAGATCTTACTTTGCTGAACATTATTGCTGTTTACCGTTTATCTCTATCTATAATAATATTCAAGATAATAACCAAAAACGGCAAAATTTCCTTAAAATTACCAATTCTGGGGCAGCAACCCAACAATGGGTTGTCAGATTCATCTGAAAATTTCAGGGCAGATAGATCTGGACCTGATAAACAATTTTACCCCATGTCAGATTTGCTCTAAATGCTTTGGTTTCAGAGATATAAGCCAAAATCTACATTTTACCCTTATGTTCTATTTTTAGCCATGGCGGCCACCTTGGTTGGTTGGCGGGGTCACTGGACACATTTTTTAAACTAGATACCCCAATGATGATTGTGGCCAAGTTTGGTCAAATTTGGCCCAGTAGTTTCAGAGGAGAAGATTTTTGTAAAAGTTTATGGACGACGGACGCAGGACGACGGACGCCGGACGCCAAGTGATGAGAAAAGCTAACTTGGCCCTGTGGGCCAGGTGAGTTAAAAATGAAATTATCTAGCATTCTTTTGACCCTTAAACAAAAAAAATAAAATGCTCCGCTGGGGCGCAGCTTGATACGACCGCAGAGGTCGAACCCTGAACAGTTGGGGCAAGTATGGACACAACATTCAAGCTTGATACAGCACTGAATTTGGGATTGTAATTAAAATTTGACACAGCATAGGTTTCTCACACAGAATGAAAGTAGTCTAAGAACTTAAAATTTTTTAATTTACCTATTCAAACCATATCATTATTATTTGCTTTTATATATAAATCAGAAATAACCAATTTAAAATGGAAAATTTTAAAGAAAAAAAAGGAAAAAAAAATCCCCCCCCCAAATTTTTTGAAACCCCCTTATGATTCATCACCCCCAAACTCAATCCCAGCCTTCCCTTTGTGGTATGGTACCTTGCAGTACAATTTCAGAGAGATCCATACACTTGAACACAAATTATTGTCTGGAAACTAGAAAAATGCTTGGGTTTTTTGCACCTTTTTGGCCCCAAATTCCTAAAAGTTTAGGGCAATTACCCCCAAACTCAAACCCAGCTTTCCCTTTGTGATATGGAACCTTGCAGTACAATGTCATAAAGATCCATACACTTACACACAAGTTATTGTCATGAAACTAGAAAAATGCTTGTTTTTTTGCCCCTTTATGGCCCCTAATTCCTAACATTTTGAGACAATTACCCCCAAAATCAATCCCAGCATTCAAACCCTCAATCAGCATCATTTAACAGTAATATCTAAAAATGGAAATTACATAATAAAGGTATTAAAATAGAAAATGACATCATAGTCATGGCTAAAAATAAACAAAATCCTTAATCAGCAACATTTTACAGTAATATCTAAAAATAAAATTCCTTTGTAACCATAAAAGCCCATTTAAATACATCATGACAGATATTAAAATAGAAAATGACATCATAGTCATGGCTAAACATAGCAAAAACCTTAATCAGCATCATTTAACAGTAATATCTAAAAATAAAAATTTCTTTGCAACCATAAAAGTAAAATAGAAAATGACATCATAATCCTAGCTAAAAATAAACAAAAATTTTTTTTATTACCAAATTTTAAATGGAGTTTATTAAACTAAAACAATAAATTTGCAACCATAAAACCCCATTTAAACACATCATAAAAGTATTAAATAATTCAACTACATCATAAGGCTATAAAAATAGAAAATGACTTCATAGTCAAGGCTAAAGGTAAACAAAAAACCTTCATCAGCAAAATTTTATATTGGCAAATTTCCAATGAAGTTTATTATACTAAAATTGTTGGCAAATTTCCAATGCATTTATTAACAATAAAGTTATTGGCAAATTTCCAATTTACATAATTTAAAAGCAGTGTAAGTGAGATATTTAAATGAGTTTGAATTACCAACCTTACACTGCTTTTAAATAATGTTTTGTACTTATTTGTCTATTAACCTGGAAACCCTTGTTTTTTCACCTTTTTTTCCCTTATTATTTAAAGGTTTGAGCCATAACCCTACCCCAAAGCCAATTCTTAAATTCCAATGTAACCTAAATTTACAATATACATAACTTCAATTTAAGTTTTTGATAAAATCAAACCACATCATTATTATTTGCTTTTATATCTAAATCAGAAATAATTAACCAACTTTAAGTGGAAAATTTTCACACATCACGCTCCCCCCAAACTCAATCCCAGCCTTCAGTTTGTGGTATGGTACCTTGCAGTACAATTTCACAGAGATCCAATTACTTAAACACAATTAATTGTTGGAAACTAAAAAAAAATGCTTATTTTTAACCCCTTTTTTAGCCCCTTATTCCTAAACATTTGAGCAATTATCCCCCAAACTCAATTCCAACTTTCTCTTTGTGATCAGAATTAACCAACTTAAAATGGAAAATTTTAAAGAAAAAAAAAAGGAAAAAAAATCCCCCCCCCAAAAAAAATTTTTTGACCCACTTCCCTTTGTGGTATGGTACCTTTAAGTACAATTTCAGAGAAATCCATACACTTGAACACAAGTTAATGTCTGGAAACTAAAAAAATGCTTATTTTTGCCCCCTTTTTTGGCCACTTATTAATAAATGTTTTGGGCAAACATTTTACAATAATATTTAAAACTGAAATTAATTTGTAACCTTAAAATTAAATAGAAAATGACATCATAGTCATAGCTAAAAATAAACAAACTATTGGTAAATTTCCAATGGAGTTTATTATATTAAAACAATAAATTTGCAACCATAAAAGCGCATTAAAATACATCATAAAAGTATTAAAAAAAATTTAACTACATCATAAGGCTATTAAAATAGAAAATGACATCATATGAGTCAGACTAAAGGTAAACAAAAAACCTTCATCAGCAAAATTTTATATTGGCAAATTTCCAATGAAGTTTATTATACTAAAATGATTGGCAAATTTCCAATTTACATAATTCAAACATAGTGCAGGTGAGATATTTAAATGAGTTTGAATTACCAACCTTACACTGCTTTTAAATAATGTTCTTTACTCAATTATTTGTCTATTAAAATGGAAACCCTAGTTTTTTAACCTTTTTTCCCCTTATTCCTTAAACGAAAAAAAATAATTACCCCTTTTTTGACCCCCCCCCCCCTATGATTCATCACCCCCCCTTCCCCCCAAAACCAAGCTCAATAACAGCCTTGCCTTTGTGGTATGGTACCTTGTAATACAATTTTAGAGAGATCCATACACTTGAACACAAGTTATTGTCTAGAAACTAAAAAATGCTTATTTTTCACCCCTTTTTAGGCCCCTTATTACTAAACGTTTTGGGCAATTACCACAAAACTCAATTCCAGCTTTCCCTTTGCGAAATGAAACCTTGTAGTAAAATTTCAGAAAGATCCATACACTTACACACAAGTTATTGTCATGAAACTAGAAAAATGCTTGTTTTTTGCCCCCTTTTGGCCCCTTATTCCTAAAATTTCGAGGAAATTAACCCCAAAATCAATTCCATCATCGACCCTTTGTGATATGGAATCTTGTAGTACAATGTCAAAGAGATCCATACAATAACACACAAGTTATGTCTGGAAGTTACAAAAATGCTTATTTTCGGCCCCTTTTTGGCCCCTAATTATTTAACTGTTGGTACCATAACCCCCAAAATCAATCCCCACCTTCCTATTGTGGTATTGAACCTTATGGTAAAATTTCATAGAGATCCATTCACTTAAACTAAAGTTAGAGTGCTAAAACCATTGTGTATTCGGACGACGACGCCGGACGACGACGCCGGACGACGCCGACGACGCCGACGACGACGACGACGCCAACGTCATACCAATATACGACCACAAAAATTTTTTTGCGGTCGTATAAAAACCATCAGAACAGAGAATAAGTTTAAAGTCTAAAAATAAATCTTACTGCGACTGGTTCTATGATATGCATCTGTGCTGTAGTTGGCTCTGCTTCATCTGGTAACCTCAGCCTCAGTCTGGTAGTAGCCATCTCTAACTCATCTACACTGGATACCTGTTCTCTTAAGGACATCCATACAGCTCTCAATCCCTGAAATAATTTAAATCATGATGAATATGTCTGGTTTGACTCATCTGCACTGGATGCTTTTTACCATTATAAATAATATAATATTCTCATATTGATGAATTGTTGATCCTTCATCTATTGTTTCTGATTTACTTCTTCAGTATTATCAAACTTCACATTCACAGCTGGCCAGTCAACAGAAACGAGGCCTGCTCATTACTATTTATCAAAATAGCAATATAAACATGTAAGGCTATTGTTTTGTTTCCCACTATCTTTTGAATATTATGTACATATTCTAATGTTTAAAGGGACCTCAGTGGCTGAGTTATCTAATCAAACTACTGTATCACTAGCCTGTCAACACTCAGGTTTTGAGTTCGAATCCTGCATGTGGCAGGTGTGTTCCACTCCAATATTAATTGACTTGGATTATAAGTTTTCCTATGAAGGTCGGTGGTTCTCTCCAGGCACTTCAGCTTCCTCCACCAATAAAAAATGACAGCAACGAAAAGTGCAATAGTGATCATTGTACTCTACCTTAAATTCTTTCTTCATAACATCAAAGACCTTTATGTGTGTTACACCAGAGCTGATTACATCCCTGTTAACTGAAATTACAGGAAGCAAGCAGAGGGTTACAATAAGTTCTGTATAGTGTTAGATTTTTGATAGTAAATTACAAAACCAGCAGAAATTAAGGTTACCATACTTGATATCAGAGAGACAGCAACCAAGACACAAAAATCCAAAAGACATCTAAAAGTCAACATACAGCCTGTCACAATAGACAATTTTTCCTTTCAAAAATACCAGAATCTATAAATTGTACCAAATCTAGCAAAATGTTTTATTTCATGCATTTTAAAGGTCTACTTCATTCATGCAAGTATAGGCAACAGCTTTGGACCAAATTTAAATTTGTTACAGAAATGTTATGGATATAATCAGTATTCTCATAACAATGTTTTCTTTGGCAAGTACTATTCCTAATTAGGTTATAAACTTTCAAGATTAAGATTTTTATAACTAAAATGAATACAGTCAAACCTCCTTAATTTGAACGGACCTGACAAACCTATTTGACTTATTTGAGGTTCGACTCATCCCAAGTTGAGTGTGACATCATAAATTTGGAATGCATAAAATATAGTATGAAATTTTTGTTATCTAGAAAAACAAAGGATATCCATCCATGATACAGAATCAGTACATGCACAGCAAAAAAAACACAAAAAAGCAAAGGAACAGCGCTTTTATTGCTGTTCTTCATCTCAAAGTCACAGTGAATAGTTTGTATGATAAATTACTTCGTTCATGGAATGAAGTAAAGTTACATAGATTAAACTCTTTTTTTTTTTTTTTTTTTTTTAAAGTTTTACTGTCTAAGCTCATATCTTGGTAACTGCATTCTATTTATCTTTGATATCAAATATCTTATCTTATGATTGAACAATTTTTCCTGTTATGGTAGATGAATTGGAAATTCGTGTATTGTATTCACTTACATCTTTGATGTTTGGCAAAGCTAAGTAAAGCCTTAAGTGACTTCTCCACTTGACTATCTGCCCAAGTTCCTTGTCTTCTGGTTCCCACCTGGTACTGGTCCCCTGACATAACTACACCTCTACAATTCAGTAAATATACAATTAGTTTAACTTACTAAGAGAAAAAAATCTCAGTTGTTTATAATTATTAAAACAGTCTAGCATTGAAAATCTAAGGATAATCTAAATCTGTACATTGCATCAACATATAAGTACATTTGGACTTAACATAAAAATAGCATGAATGACTTTAGATATCTCTGTATTTTGTCCTTATATAAATAACACATAGCTGAGAGGGTAATAGAGCACATTGTTACCCTGAGAAAACATTGTCAACTGAGGTGAAGCCAAGGTTTACAAAGTCTTTTCGAGGGGTAGCAATCTGCTCTATTACCCTCTCAGATATGTTATTTAATTTATTATACTGAATGTTCTGTTATTACTGTCTATTAAACAAATTCAAAGTAATAAACTATGACCTCTTGTTCATAACAATCATTTGTATTTAACAAACACTTGACCAACCAACAATCAATCAATCAATCACTTGACCAAGCGTCTCCCTGAAGGGAAATAGAGTTTTTGTCATGGGAGAGTAAATTATCTCCCTCGTATTAACCAACCAAAATCTGGTATTTTGACACGCAGTATAATAAATCTAAATAATTGAATGTAAAAATTCGTAAGGGTTCCACGGAACCCAGTGTCTCGCCTACTTTTTCTGTTAATCGCAGGCTCAACAAGAATGAGGAAGTAAATCAATAAAAATATTCCTCTTGATACTATCTTTTGATTTTAAGAAGCTTCTGTCCAAGTTTGGTAAAAATCCAGGATAGTTTATGAATCTAATAAATGTTTAAAAACTTTAACTGCAGACTGAATGTAATGTTAACTGGAAGAAAACAAAATTTCCTTCTAGAAACTAGCATTTGATCATAAACAAGCTTCTGTCAAAGTTTGGTACAAATCCAAAATAGTATAAGAAAGTTATTAAAAATTTTAAAAACTTTAACCACAGAGTGAATATGTTGTTTCCTGGCAGAAAATCTTAGTCCATTTAAAAGTAAAATACGGAAAAAATGGATTAATTTTTTTACAAAATTTACTTCTAGATACTATCTTATGATCATAAACAAGCTTCTGTCCAAGTTTGGTACAAACCCAGGATAGTTTAAGGAAGTTATTAAAATTTTAAAAACTTTAACCACAGAGTGAATATGTTGTTTCCTGGCAGAAAATCTAAGTCCATTTATAAGTAAAATACGGAAAAAATGGAATTTTATTTTTACAAAATTTACTTCTGGATACTATCTTATGATCATAAACAAGCTTCTGTCCAAGTTTGGTAGAAATCCAGGATAGTTTAAGAAAGTTATTAAAATTTCAAAAACTTTAACCACAGAGTGAATATTTGTGGACGCCGACGGAATGTAGGATCGCTATGTCTCGCTTTTTCGACTAAAGTCGAAGGCTCGACAAAAATGGCATCTTACAAGTTCATATCTTGTAACATTCAAGCACTGAGGTAGAAATCAAACCATCGTCATTTTGAGGAATTAGATGTTGACGGCAATTCTTCCATTTTCTGTTGAAAAAGGCATCCCCTTCTTTACTAGACTTCTGACAATTTAGAGCTTAACATATTGTTTACATACCTGACTTTTGTTGAATACTGTATGTTGACCTTTGGATTTATTTTGATTTTTTTTGTGTTGTTGAGTTGCTGTCTCAATGATATATACCCCATATCTACTTTTATTCATACATAAAGGCACACCAGAATTTATTTTTCTTCTCGAACAAAAAATGCAAGATATAAAATGATTAATGTCATTGAAGGATGCATTATTAGGAGTTGACATACTGTGACCTGTTTATCTTCATGCTGGGGATAATTTTTAAAATACCAATACTTACTGCTCTGTAAAAGAATATAGTTTTGATTCAAAGTCTTGAAAGTGCTGGTCTGTCTCACAAAACTGACATCTGGAAATATAAATAAAAAATTCTTTTAAAGTATCCACAAAAATTTATTTCAGACGTTCACATTTATATCTATCATTTTTATTTGTTGTAAACAATGTTTTGTGGTCTATGCACATCCAAATGTTCAACAAAACAAAAACACATACCTTCAAGGTATAAATTTGAAAAATCAGTAACAGATTCAAGTTAGCTGTACCTGTCTACTGAGGGTTTTGACACATCAACAACTGCTTGTATATGAAATCTGATGCATGATGTTACTCCTATTCGTGTTTCCCATACGTCAGGAAGAATGTTATGGATAACTTTTTAATTGAAAATCACACATAAGCAATTAAATTCTAAATATATGGAGATTTATGTTTAAATTGATATGTTTATTAGGATTTTTTCACGATTTTTTTTTTTAATTAACATTTTATGTTTCTTTTAGCACTTTAAATATTAATGTTTGAATTAAAATTTCACTTAAGGAAATAGAGAGTTGTAAAATTTACCTCCTTACCAAATGAGGTTTTGATATGGTGTTCAGAAAGAAAACTTGACAGTCACTGAGTGCAATTTTGCATCAACAGGAAACAATAAAAAATTTCCATCTTCTTATGTTTTCATTTGCTTGTTAGAATTTTTTACCATTCCATTAAGATTTAAACAGTGGGAAGTAACTCAGATTGAACAATTTAAATGAATTCAATCTGAAAACCTTTACATTGATATGCTGTGAATAACTCACTTTCCAGATATTTCACCAACTGGTCTCAAACAGCACTCAACAGTCTCACTCATCATGGCAGGAGTGAGTCCCTGACTCAGCATATTTAAGGAAGTCATCAGTTTCTCACGTGCAGATTCCAGGGCCTCAAGTCTCTGTTCTAAAACTAATTCTAATCCTCTAGTGTCATGAAACCTAAAATGAAACATCTTAACGATGAAACATGTGATTTCTATTTCAGATATTAACATTTTAATTAGGCATATAAATATTCATTCAATTGAGCCAAAATGAAATATTCATTTGTACATACAATGTAGATTAATTGATTATTTGCTTAATTTTCAGTGAAAAATACAAACACCTATTAAATTTTTGCTGCATTCATTTTTCGTGCTTTGTTTGTCACATAATAGTTTTGCACTACAATATTAATGCAAACTGTTTTACTTAACTATATTTATACCTTCAATAAGTTCTTAGGGGCCTCGGTGGCCGAGTGGTCTAAGTAGTTACTACTGTAATCACTAGCCAGTCAACAATGAGGTTGTGAGTTCGAACCCCGCTCGTGCGGGTGCACTCGACTCCAATCTTAATTGACTAGGATTGTCAGTTTTCCTATCGAAGGTCGGTGGTTTTCTCCGGGCGCTCCGGCTTCCTCCACCAATAAAAACTGGCCGCCACGAAATAGCCCAAAAGCGGTGCTTAAAAGTGGCGTTAAAACACCAAAAATCAAATCAAATCAATAAGTTCTTTCACAAAAAAGCAAAAATTAATGCATGGCAAATGTAATCACTGAGTTTTATAACTAGCATATAAAAATAAGGAGATTGTAGTAAAATTGCCAATTAGACAATTATCAACCCAAGCTATAGATATGTGTGGTCCTAACTCCCCAGCCCTGACAGATTTAGGGTCCATTACTTACACATTAGCTATAGATATGAGTGATCCTAACTCTACAGCCCTGTCAGATTTAGGGGTCCATTACTTACACATTAGCTATTGATATGTGTGGTCCTAACTCTCCAGCATTGTCAGATAGGTCTGATTTGATGTGTTCCACAAGATCCTCATGAATACCTCTCTCAACAGCATGGTCTATCAATTCTAGCCACCACTCTGATCCTTCTGCAAACTGGAAAACAATAGTAAATGAACAACATTAAATTTTTTATGAAATTAAGATGGAAACTCATGAAATATACAACTTCATTTAAATATTTGTCCATTTTTTAACATATAGGTATACAGGAATAATTTGTGAAAAATTAAGCACAGGTAGCCCTCCCCCCCCCCCCTTTTTTTTTTAAAGTTTAATACCCTAGAAACAAAAACAAAACAGCTTTCCAGAAAACTGGGGACATACAACATACATGTATATATGGTTTTTTTTACAGATTTATTAATGAGTACTTTTAGAAAGTTCTGATTTCACTAAATATTGTTTATAAAGAAGGGGATAAAAGGTGAAAATGGGCACAAATACTCCCTTTTATATATATAAAGATATTTATTCAATCTATCATTGTCCAATAAAAAAAAAAAACAAAAGTACAATATCATTAGTTACTTCAACTTAATTTTTGTCAACATAAAACCACAATGATAATTACCTCATCTTTCACTTGGTTAAGATTATCCTGTACAGACTTAAGATGCTGCTGAGCCTGTGTTACTTTGGCCTCTGCTCTGGTCATATATCTGTGTCTTATATCATTTGCCTGTAGAATGTACAATATATTTTCATATACTTAAAAGACAGTAATTATATAACTTGTAATGTGGTATACTATTTTCAATAACACAGCAATCCTCCCCCCCCCCCCCCGCCCCCCCCCCCCCCCCCCCCAAAAAAAAACCCCTCATGAAGACAACACATCCATATAAGAGTGTTTTTACCAATACGCTAGAAAGTCTAAATCACAGTTTTTAGTTTTCAATGTTGTGTTTGTGTACTGTTGTTTGTCTTTTCATATTTTTTTTGGTTTTTTTGCCATGGCATTGTCAGTTTTTTAACTAATGAATTTGAATATCCATTTGGTATCTTTCGGCTCTCTTTCACTCTTAGTCTAGACAAGTGGTGGATTGATTAATTAGATACTATCTAATAACTGTGATCTACACAAAATTTCATAAGAAAAACACTAAGATTAAAAATATGACATTATAATCAATATGGGTCATACAATACATGCATATGCCCAGGCCACAAAATGGACATAAAAAGATAGAGTTTTACTTACTTGATCAGACAACTGACCATCCCTGAGTGTAGGCTCCAGTCCCTTAGGTTTCAATGCCATTACTTCCTGTAGATTATGTAAAGCATGTAACTGCTGTAACTCGTCAGTACGTAACTCCTCCTTATGTTCCTCTACAGACCTCAATACCTCTCTGTATCCATCTACTGCCTCTAAATACTGTAAGACAAAAAGTAAAATTAATGTGGTTATGCTTGACTTTCCACATTAACAACTACTCGTATAAAAACACTTTGACAAAACATTTTTATGGATGGGTGGGTGTCATTCATTGAAAATTTTTCTCTGGTATTCAAGATAAACACAATTCTAGCCTACCAGTCATAACAAGAATGTGACCATAGTACACGGATGCCCCACTCGCACTATCATTTTATATGTTCAGTGGACCGTGAAATTGGGGTCAAAACTCTAATTTGGCATTAAAATTAGAAAGATCATATCATAGGGAACATGTGTACTAAGTTTCAATTTGATTAGACTTCAACTTCATCAAAAGCTACTTTTACCAAAAACTATAACCTGAAAAACTTTAACCTGAAGCGGGACAGACCGATGGACAGACAGACGAACGAACGGACCGAAAAAACATAATGCCCATAAATGGGGCACAAAAATTTGGAGCACGATTATCCTACTCAGACTCAGATATCAATCAATCAAAATACTGGATTTGGTGTTTCAAGCACAAATTTTGTACTACGAGGACTGAGTAAATTTTTATGACCACCAACGCAGACATTGCTGAAAGGAATCTTCTATGAAGTACAGCAACTAATATTAAATGTAAGATGGCATGATATCATATCAGCAGTAAGTGGATCTCTCACCTGTTTTTTTATGATATGTAACCCTGCTTGACCATTCAATGCTGCTACTATTTGTCTGTGAGCTTCTTCACATTCAGTTTTTGCTTTCTTTGTCAGTGATTCTAACAGCTCTTCCATGGTCATTGTACTGAAAGACATAAAATGGAATCTGTTAAGGATGTTCGCTCTTCTCGTTTTGGAATTTCTGCCAGATATTCCTCTGGTTTTATCCCTGTAGTGCCATTAAAAATTTTGCCTGTTAACCCCTACTTTTCTTTTCATAATATTATTACATATAGTTTAAAAAGCTATATTCAAAAATCTTATGAAATCCTTGTTATTTTTTCATAGTTTTTGAAAGAAAAAAGTTGCCAATGTTAAATGTATAAAAAATCTAAGAGAGAATTATTTCCCGCCAAATTTTCCATGGCTTATATCTTGAAAACAAGCACACGGACCCTTCATTTTTTTCTGCTTTTTTAGTTCCATTATTTATATACTATCAATTTATAACAGTCTTTTAAAAAGCCTGTTATTTTGGAACAGAGTAGCGAACATCCTTAAGACTCACTTCAAGAATTATTTTGAACTTTCAAGGGCAGATCTATAAGACATGTTCAAAAAGCAGTCATTAGGATTTGATGATGCAAAAACGTTCTAGAAAACGAACAGTTTTACAATTAAAAGAACTGGAGGCTCTAAAGAGCCTGTGTCGCTCAAATAGGTCTATGTGCATCTTCCACAATGGACACTCTCCAACATTGTAGACTAGAATAGATTTCATGACAAAAATCTTTTTTTTGTTGATCTTGTATTGCTGATCATTTTAGCTATTCAAAGTATCTATCTATCTGTTATAGTTTTCAAAATAATAGGCTAAAACAATAAAAAAACAGATAAAAATCGTCATTAAAGAGCAATAACTCCAATAACAAGTTGATTGAAGAATTCGTTGATTAGATCTTGCCTTGAAAATCATTTTTTATTTTTTAAAGTTTCTATCTATCTAATGTTATCTATATTTGATATTTAACAAAAAACACAAAAATGAAGAAAAAAGAATTGTCATTTAAGGGCAATAACTTTGACCCTGTCAGATTTTCTGTATTTGTAGCAGTTTTCAAAATAATAGACAAATTTGCATTTTACCCCTATGTTTTACTTTTTGCCATGTCAGCTATCTTGGTTGGAAGGTAGGGTCATCAGACACAATTTTTAACTAGATACCCTAATAATGAATTTGGCTAAGTTTGGTTAAATTTGGCACAGTAGTTCCAGAGGAGAAGACATTTCATATCTTGGTTTGCCAAGTACACAGCAGACTATGAATTGAATAATGACAAAGCAATGGTCTAGTTTTCAGAATATATATTTACCTTTTCTGTAAAGGTAGAAATTCTCCTCTCACTGCCTGGGGATGGCAACACGCTTGTCTTAATCTCAATAATGGATACAACAGCTGAAATTAAAAATTGTAGGTTTAGCAAATTAGTTTAAATCATAAGTTTCATAACGAGTGAGAATTGGATATCACTTGATATCAACTCAATTTATTTAATTTTGTTATAATAATAAACGAGCCTGTGGCGAGTTTATCAATACTATTTAAAATTTAATAACGAGAGTTGATATCAAGTGATATCCAGTTCTCACGAGTTGTTAAACTTATTTCTCCTATGGTTAACACTCTCATTGTGTTAAATGAAAAATTCCGCGAATTGTTGATCTAGTCTTTTGCATATACCAGTATGACCTCATATGTCCTGTTCTGGCATCAAACTTTAACACCAGACACCTTAAAACTTTTTGTTCGCCTCAGAATGTAATAAAGTTTGACTAAAAGAAGATTTTCAGGTGAAATTTTTTTTCTGTATTATTGAAGAAATCACATATGTCTGTTGCCATGGAAGAAATGTACATTGTCTTAATCTCTGAAAGTCATCAATGAACTTACAAATGACCAATGGAAATGTTATAATATCGTCTCATGATGCTGCATAAGCAAATCAAATAAATACAGTTTTCGTATCACACTTCGTGCAGTGTGATACAAGAAATGTCTCTTCATACAAAAAAAAGATAACAGACCACAATCATAAAAGAAAAAAAGTTTTCATTGTAAGAAAATAGTATAAGGGCTTCCTTCTTTTTTGCTGTTAAATACTTTAGACAGTAGTTATTCCCTAATTCTATATGCATTAAAACCAGTTCTAAGAAATTTTGATAAACCTCACATTGATTAAATGTGTTTTGTACAATTTTCCTGATACCTATTCACAAAATTGAGTCTGCATTTTCCATCAAGTCGGTAAACCTCTGACACATATAAAAGTTTGAATCATTAGCTATTTTGAATGAATAAAATCCTAATCATTGGGGTGGTTTTGAAGACTCTGAATTTATATAATGATTGAAAAAAAAAATAGCTCCACTTTGTCACTTAGATATCAATGGATGAATAGATGGCTGTTAAACGTCCAGTGGCAAATTAAATGCATATTCAAAACCAGAGCATGATAATGTGATATACAAAATGTAAGAGAATAAACCCTGCTTTGTACTAGACCTACACCATGAACCAAATCTTTACCATGCTAGTTCACAAGGAAATAGTCCAACCTACTTGGACACATTATGCTGGCTCCAAGCCGACCAGTCATTGTCCTTACTCCTTAATGCCACATGCTTAGCGGAGAAGCAGAAACGAATACCAATTTTACAGTCTTTGGTTTGACCCAGCTCAGGTTCAAACCCACAACCTTCCGCACTTGAGGCGAACACGTTACTACAGGACCAGAGGCAGTTCTTAGATATTGACCCAATGATACTGATTGGCTGTATTATGTGTTACCTGGTTCATTGTCTGTCTGTCTAAGCTGCTTAACTTTGTAGAGTTGTCTGCCCATTTACTTAATTTCTGCAAAATAGATTTTGTATATTCTCTATATTCAAATGTAATCATTCTGCAAAATATATTTTGTATATTCTGTATATTCAAATTTAATATTAATTTATGATAATGGTATATTTCAGAAATTCCGCATGACCATGATTTCCAAAGTATGTTTTTTTTTCTCACCCCTTCTAGAGTTGGTGAATCATAATGCAAAATTTGATATTATTTATAAATTTCATCTATTCACTCATGATTGTCCCATAGAATTTGAAGCTGGTTGAAAAAACATTTTATTGTTCAAAAGACATGTTATATATATATCCAGGTAAAGTGTTTACAATACTTTTAATGCATTTTCCTCCCATTTTCTTTATATGATTATCATATTGCATTTTTGTACTTTCCTTCATAAAATCTCTTACTCAGTGAAGAATAGGAAAAAATGTAGGTCACTGAAAAAGTTGACAGTTAATTTCCATATGTAAATTACCTTCATACAGTCTCTAACACAATCTTGATACTGTCTTCTATAAAAGTGGTCTTCAACAGGAGAAAACGTCAGCCAATGAATATGTTCTGTCTGTTCTGGTATGTTAATCTGTAATACATATAATACAAGTACTTATATATTTAGCAATGCTTGTTTTAGGGAACACATTATTCTTAATGCCTAGTCAACTTCAATGCTTGGTGTTCTTCAACTTCGTACTTTATATGGCCTTCTTAACTTTTTTGATTCAAGCATCACTGACAAGTCGGTTGTTATGGAAACGCCTGTCTGGCGTACAAGTCTTAATCCTGGTATCTATGATGAGTTTATTTCCTTGCTCTTCACCCTAAATTCCCCTCATAGAGGAGAAGCAGTACTGTGGATTCATTTATTTTCGTGGGTACCAATTTTCGTGGATTGCGGAAAACTTGCCTTTTCGTGGATATGTGATTTCGTGGTTTTGCCAAAGTCAGCAAGCAACCTGATAGAAAATTTGTAATTCGTTTAACATTTAAATTCGTGGTTCATCTGTACCCACGAAAACCACGAACATTGGTATCCAACGAATATTAATGAATCCACAGTATATACCACATTCAAACCTACAAGAGTGGACCCACCAATATGACAAGTGATACTACAAGATCACAGGGGCAGTTAAAGTCCTTTGGACAAGTAATGTTATTACCATGTGATACTACAAGATCACAGGGGCGGTTTAAGTCCTTTGGACAAGTAATGTTATTACCATGTGATACTACAAGATCACAGGGGCGGTTTAAGTCCTTTGGACAAGTAATGTTATTAACACATGATACTACAAGATCACAGGGGCGGTTAAAGTCCTTTGGACAAGTAATGTTATTAACATGTGATACTACAAGATCACAGGGGCGGTTAAAGTCCTTTGGACAAGTTTTGTTATTAACATGTGATACTACAAGATCACAGTGGCGGTTAAAGTCCTTTGGACAAGTAATGTTATTAACACGTGATACTACAAGATCACAGTGGCGGTTAAAGTCCTTTGGACAAGTAATGTTATTAACACGTGATACTAGAAGATCACAGGGGCGGTTAAAGTCCTTTGGACAAGTAATGTTATTAACATGTGATACTACAAGATCACAGGGGCGGTTAAAGTCCTTTGGACAAGTAATGTTATTAACATGTGATACTACAAGATCACAGGGGCGGTTAAAGTCCTTTGGACAAGTAATGTTATTAACATGTGATACTACAAGATCACAGGGGCAGTTAAAGTCCTTTGGACAAGTAATGTTATTATTATGTGATACTAAAAGATCACAGGGGCGGTTAAAGTCCTTTGGACAAGTAATGTTATTAACATGTGAAACAGAGAGAGCATAAACCTGTATCATTATTCAGAACCATTGGTTCCTGCAATCATATCAAATAAATTAAATAGTATTCTGAACATTCTAAATTTTGTAAACAATTAACTTAAAATTATGATCATATCAATGATAATTCATATCAACACAGAAGTGCTGATAAATTTTACCAGATAAATTAGAATAACTTATCAATAGCAATGGCAAAGCTTTGAAATTATTGGTTACTATAATGCAATATTATATACAAATAAGCAATAAAATGTATTTCATATCAGTTAAATGAAATGTATCTTACCTGTTCAATAACATCTTTTTTAGCTGTCCTCCACAGTATAGATGACACTGTATCGTAGAGTGGCTTGGTAACTCCATGACACAATGGTTTAAACAAAACTGTTTCAAACCATTGCTTTACCCAGAATGGATCTATACCCAAGAATAGGAATAGTCCATACAGATCTGAAACAAAGAAGAAGGGGCAATATTTGGCCCATATATTAGTGCAAATTCAAAAGTTATCATACAATATCTTAAATTTGTCTTAACAATAAATACTAAGGTAAAAGGTGTTAAGAAATACAAGAGTGCAAACGCTGAAATGTCTCGCCTTCTTTACTAACCATTAATATTATGTTGATAGTCCTAAATGAAAGCTTTACTACAACTATTACATAAACTTAACATGATCCAAGAAAATGAAGTCAAGGTCATATAAACCAAACGAGAAATACATGTACACCTTACAATCATTCAATACACTAAATATAGTTGACCTATTGCTTACAGTATCTAAGAAACAGACTTAACCAAGAAAACTAAACATTGACCAATGAATTGTGAAAATGAGGTCAAGGTCAGATGAACCATGCCAGGCAGACATGAACAGCTTACAATCCTTCCATACAACAAATATAGCTGACCTATTGCTTATAGTTTAAGAAAAACAGACTGAAACACATAAACTTAACACTGAGCAATGAACCGTGTAAATGAGGTCAAGGTCAAATAAAACCTGCGAGACTGACATGTACATCATAGAATATTTCCATACACCAAATATAGTTGACTTATTGTATATAGTATAAGAAAAAAGACCAAAACGCAAAAACTTAACTTTGACCACTGAACCATGAAAATGAGGTCAAAGTCAGATGACACCTGCCAATTGGACATGTACACCTTACAATCATTCCATACACCAAATATAGTAGACCTATTGCATAAAGTAAAAGAAAATGGACCAAAACACAAAAACTTAACTATAACCACTGAACCATGAAAATGAGGTCAAGGTCAGATGACACCTGCCAGTTGGACATGTACACCTTACAATCCTTCCATACAACAAATATACTAGACCTATTGCTTATAGTATCTGAGATATAGACTTGACCACCAAAACTTATCCTTGTTCACTGATCCATGAAATGAGGTTGAAGTCAAGTGAAAACTGTCTGACGGGCATGAGGACCTTGATAGGTACGCACATACCAAATATGTTATACTATTACTCATAATAAGAGAGAAATTAACATTACAAAAAAATCACAACTTTTTTTTCAAGTAGTCACTGAACCATTAAAATGAGGTCAAGGACAATGGACATGTGACAGACGGATTCTTCGTAACATAAGGCATCTATATACAAAGTATGAAGCAGCCAGGTCTTCCAGCTTTTAAGAAGTTAGCTAAAGCTGCTGCCGCCGGATCACTATCCCTATGTCGAGCTTTCTGCGACAAAAGTCGCAGGCTCGACAAAAATCAAATTTCTCAATTGATGAGTTCCAATAGCACTATGGTTTGTTGAGAAATCTTATTCTATAAAATTATCATGATGTTACTTGGAAACATTTCCACAATGGGTGGAAAACTGCACAAATTCAGTATTTTTCTTCATTTTCATGAAAGCAATGCAAAACAATGAAGTACATGTAATTGTGTAATGTCATACCATAAAAAACTTGAGTAATTCAATCATATTTCTTTGATCTTATGCAATTCCATATATTATTGGCAAATTTGAAATAGTTCTCAAAAACTGCATTTTCTTGGTCCAAAAACAGGTCTCAGTATTCCTTGACAAAGATTTTAATAAATGCATATGTATGTGTACTTGAACAAAATTAAGTGTGTCTGGACAACATGAAAACCTCTGTTTTTCTATAATTTTATAACATGATGTACAGTTAAAATTCATTGAAATAAGAAGATAAACCATTGCAAAAAATTTAATTGTTTTTGTTAACTTTTTAAGATAATGGACACGAGAGGGATTCTATTATCAATGGGATAAAACGGAAAAATGCAATTGAGCTGTTTGGAATGAAACTGAATTTAGTCATGCAAGGCTAAAGTGAAATTTTGTATAACATTTCATTACAAACACATAATATCAAGGCTGTACAAAATTGCAGATTTTTGCATCCGATACCTTCTACACTTCTTTGAATTGGGGTACCAGTAACACACCATCTGTTGACAGCTGTCAATCTCAGAGCCATCAAAGCTGTCTAAAATATATCAAAATAAGCAATTAATTAGCTTATTTGGATTCAGATTACATACCAGAACTATGATAAAATATGTGTGAAGAGAAAGAAAAGCTGAATATGGTTTGTGTCAAAAGGTTACATGAGTTTTCTGTATTTTTTTCAATTTTGGCATGCACTTTATCATTATTTCCTTTCCATTGCACAGGATTTACTGAAATTCCTTGTTTTCAATGGAGCGTTAAATTTTTTTTTTAAGTTGTATTACAGATTGTCTCCTGTTCTTTCATACCATTTCCTATCTATTACAATTCATAAAGCTAAAATGTATAAAAGAACAAAGTTCAAATGTCTCAACCATTGCACATATTTTATCTGTCAAAAGGAAATAACTAAAATTAAACTTCTTTTTTTGTTTTTTTGTTCTTTGAAAACTTTTTACCAATATCTTAGAGAAATGAAGGCTTGAGAGCACAATGCAATTTCCAACATAATTAATATTTCCAAGGGGCATATTATTTGATCAGCACTGATTTTCAAACTTGCCCAAGACATTGTTGATATAAACCTTTGATATAAATTTGATAAAAATCTGGCAAGAATTGTACACATGAGAGCGCTAACAATGCAATTTTCCATATAACTAATATTTCCAAGGGCACAACTATTTTAAAAAAAACTGATCTGCACTGATTTTTTAACTAGGTCGAGACATTGCTGATAAAATCTATAAGTTTCATAAAAATCTGGCAAGAATTGTACACATGAGAGCACTAACAAGACTGGATGGACAGATGGACGCCCAATGTTTTTATGTCCCCAGCAATGTGTCACCCAGAGACAAAGCTTTAAAACCTTGTAATTTCTTTAATAAGATACATGTTTTAATCTATCTCATCCATAGTTTACTTTGAAATTATAGGAAAGCATTTTTATCACTTCTGTTTCTTTGCATAAACTTCTGTTTCACAGCTGTAAGAAATTAGTAAGGATAAGCTACCGTATAGCGGGTTATTTTCGCGGGTGTAAAATTTCGCCATTTTCACTGAATAAGGTATACAAAATATTTTGGTGGATTCAAATCTTTTATCAATACCATTGCATGTGCACTTTTAAATTGGCGGAATTAATTTTGGCTATTTTGTTCTATCCGCGAAAATAACCCGCTATACGGTATATTTTAAATAGAAATGAGAGGAAAATGTATGAGATTTGAATAAATGTCAAGAAGATAGAACAACCATTTCAATACCTTTGTTGTTGTACACTCTACCATCTGAGCTTCATCTAGACAGATCTGTAACAATAAATAAAACAGTATATAAAGAATGGGTACATAATAAAAATCGAACATTTATATACAAACTTCAGTGACCATAATTATTTACATAATAGCTAATTAGGATTTTAAAAGAAGTGTCTCTTATGAGAAAAGTCCAAATCTCCTTCACTGAACAAAGTCTCCTAAATTATCTTCCCAATTTTTGCTTATATATGCTAAGCTATAATTGTTAAATTTCTTATAAAATATTTATCATATAGTTATGTATGTATGTAGTGGAAGAAAAATCTGGTTGCAAAACAAAAATCACATGTTATTTTTTTAGGATTAATCTTTTAACGTGATCAACTGCAAGGTAAAGGCAACTGCAACTCAGTGTCCTAGCTAGCCTAAAGTAGAGAGGCACAGGTCCCCTCTCCCCTTCCTGTTCTCAAAGTCCTGCCCTATGCAATTTTTGCTTTCTAAGCAACATGAATCCTTTTTAATACAAAAGTATTATGCATTTATTCTACAAGAAAAAACTGATTACAACTCAAAACTACCAGCATACCAGCAAAAAAAGTATTCAATTATTTCATTTATTTTATCTATAAACAGATTAAGTTGTTCCTTTTCAAACAAGATACAACACTAATGTGAATTTTGTTTTGAAACTGTGTCCCTCTGCCCCTAAATCTTAGCTGGAACACTGCAAACTACACAACAATTCAAATACATGTGTATGACACATGCACAAAGACAATTTGGTGTTATCTGATCCAAATTAACATTACAAATGACAAAGTATTACAGCCGATTGCATTGAGTGTGTAGGTAAAGGTAGAATCTTTGATTAGCTTACTTGCTAGCTGAACCGTGAAGTCATTATTAGGTAAGGTATACTACCCTCCTTTCGAAGTAGCCTAGTCCTACAGACAGATAGATTGGTTATCTGTCGGACTAGTCTACTCTTAAAGGAGGGTAGTTTACCTAACCTAATAATGACTTCACGGTTCAGCTAGCAAGCAAGCTAACCACAGATATTATCTTTACCTACACACTCAATGCAATCAGCTGTAAAATACAAGCCATAATAAAACATTAACAAGATAACCGGCATTACCTCATTTTATCTCACATTAATTTCCTGATATTTAACAGAAAATTCCATCAAGTACAACTGACATATTTAACATCTTTTGTCAATATAGACATTCACAGATGACAGAATTCCAGTTTTACAATATAAAATCTAAATCCAAAATAGTTTGGTTCATTGACAAAATAGAAAAGGAAGGTGAACTATAAGCACTACTGAAATAACTTACCCTCCACCATTCTACAGCTATCAAAGGACTGGGTATAGCCATAAATCTTTTGGGGTGTCTGAATTTTCTACCACTTTCACCTGGAAAACAATCATAAAATGAACATGTACATTGCACAACTGCTAAAAGACATATTTTGAATTTGCCTTTACAGCAGATTGCATTGAGTGTGTAGGTAAAGGTAATATCTGTGGTTAGCTTGCTTGCTAGCTGAACCGTGAAGTCATTATTAGGTTAGGTAAACTACCCTCTTTTAAGAGTAGACTAGTCCGACAGATAACCAATCTATCTGTCTGTAGGACTAGGCTACTTCAAAAGGAGGGTAGTTTACCTAACCTCATAATGACATCACAGTTCAGCTAGCAAACAAGCTAGTCAAAGATATTACCTTTACCTACACACTCAATGCATTCTGCTGTAATAAAAAAGATTGTAAACATTTCAACATTTTTTTTTATCCTGGAGTCAGTCAATATCATCTGCAGATCAATAAGAACGTCTGGAAATGTTATTTTAAACAGTTATTCATGTACATGTTTATTATTGATTAACATTTTTTAAAATTCTATTTTCAAATTAACTCTAATCTGTGAATGGAAAATTGGGGTTATTCTGGATTATTTTTTAATGAGAAAAATAAGCTAAGGCAAAATATTATTGATCTGAAATAAAAAAAAAGATAGTATAATATTTCAAGAATGCATTCAGCAGAGTTTGGTTGAAATATATTAACTACTTACTGTTACTGTGTGGCAGATCCACGTAATCTATCTCTTTCCTCAGAGTTTCGTACGTTGTAATGACAATATCTTGTCTGGCCAGGGTATCAGGTTGTATAAATCCTTGTTTATGTACTCCAGTATATACCTGTAAATGACCAAAAAACATTTTATCAGTGAACTACCGTATACGGCCGTGTATTGTCCGCATTTGTGTATAGTCCGCACCCCCTTTCCATCCCCAAATATCGCGGAAAAAGTCTAGTTCGCTTGTATAGTCCGCAACAACTTTTGACAAGATCGGGTCCGCGAACAATGACGGAAACTGCCGAATTTGCGGTATTTTTATATTATTTTTTTTTGGTTTATGGCGAGATCGGCAAGATAGTAAGTATTGTTGTTAAAAAGATCGATAGTTAGTATAAACTTATGAATAGTTTTTGAATGGGATCTTTAAAGATATGTTTTTAATCTTTTTTAAAGACCGGCAAGAAAGTAATCATTGTTGTTAAAAGATCGATAATTAATATAAAATTATGATAAGTTTGTGAAAGAGAACTTTAAAGATATGTATTTAATCTATTTTAACAGTCTTCAAAAGATTTGTTTATTTGCTCAATTAAATCTTCTTTCAGAATATCATTCTTTACTAATTGATTTAAAGTCCCAAACAATGAAAGTAAGAACTGTATGCATGTAATTAATGTTGATTAATTCAATCATGTACATTTAACTATCGGCTTATCACTTTTGATATCATTGTAAGTCGTAGCTTGCCCAAGCCAATAAACTTTTCAACATTCTAAAAATAAATATTTGGTATGCTATTAAACAAAAGAAAATTAAAGATCAAACATTTAAGATCAAAAATGAATTCAACTCAGACTGTAAAAACCAAGCTTATCCCTTTTGGTATATAAAGAAATGTTAAATTTTAACTATCATACCTTCGAATTGTCATTACCAGACGATGGGTAAAATACGTCAGTCCTTCACCGTTAAAGAAAAACTTAAAGTTGTCGCATATGCTGAAGCCCACGGCAACCGTGCCGCTGGTAGAGAGTATACCATTGATGAGAAAAATGTCCGTAATTGGAGAAAACTTAAAGAACGTTTGCAAAAAATGCCAAAATCAAAAAAAGCCAACAGGGGTAGTGCCCCTCACTTCCCTGATCTTGAAAAAGCCCTGATGCCCTGGGTAACAGATCGTAGACAACAAGGCTTTGCCCTATCTACAACAGAGTTGCGTCTAAAAGCAATTCATTTATCAAAATCAATGCCAGATCACAAAAACTTCAGAGGCTCCATAGACTGGTGTTATGGGTTTTTACGACGTCATGATTTATCAATCCGTCGTCGTACGCATATTTCTCAAAAACTTCCAGCTGACTACGAAGATAAACTTCTAGAATTTCAGAAATATATAATAAAATTACGGAAGAAAAATAATTATCTTTTGTCACAGATAGGCAATGCAGATCAAACTCCTCTCACGTTTGATTTGCCGGCTGATACAACTATTGACCATAAAGGTACATCAACCGTAAATATTAGAACAACTGGCAATGAAAAAAATCGGTTTACCGTAATGTTAGCATGCACAGCAGACGGAGGAAAGCTTCCACCTTACGTTGTATTTAAAAGAAAAACCATGCCAAAGATACCTTTCCCTAAAGGTCTAATAGTACAGGTGCACCCAAATGGTTGGTTTGATGACCGCATTACAAAAGATTGGGTGACCCGAGTGTGGGGTAGGCGACCCGGTGCCGGACGCAGTCGTAGTATGCTAGTGTTAGATGCCTTTAGATGCCACAGGTCGGAGGAAGTAAAGACAATCATGAAGGACGAGCATAAATCAGATCTTGCCATTATACCGGGTGGTATGACAAGTATTTTACAACCCCTTGACGTAAGCATAAACAAGCCGATGAAGGTCGCACTTCGACAGAAATGGAATGCCTGGATCAGCGGAGATGACCATTCATTCACCAACACTGGTAGAATGCGCAAGCCAGAAATGCCAGTCATCTGTTCCTGGATAGTAGAGGCATGGGAGGAACTTGACCCTCAAATCATCATCAGATCCTTCAAGAAATGCACAATTTCTAATGCCCTTGATGGATCCGAAGACGACATGGTATGGGAAGAACACGTCCAAGCTTCCACTCCACCAACAGAAGATGAAGGTGAAGAAGATGAAGAACTAGAAGATGACAGAGACATCTATTACTATGATGAAGATGAAGATGACGACATGCCACTGGCTGCCTTGAGAGACATCTTTGCCATATTCCGTGAAGAAGACGAAGAATCTTTTGATGGTTTTTAATCATTAAAACATTTTAGTGCTATTGTGACATTAAGCTAGATTGTATTATCATAACTTTAATAGTGCATTATATTATATTACAAATTGTCTGATCTAATTATAAACTTTAATAGTGCATCATATTCTGATATACCTTTGTATTGTTATGTTTGATGTTTAAAAAAATTGATTAGACCTCATTAAAATATTTTAACTCTTTAATCTTATCATTTCTTTTTATTGATTTGAAGAACTGCCGGAGGTTATTGTATTACATTCATCACTTGTCAAAAGTTGACATGGTTATTTAATTGCTTTACACACAAACCCGTAAACTCATTCATGCAAGACGACACACCTGCACAATATGACCTTTCACCTGGAAATATAGTTTCGTATGAAAAATTCCATTACTTTCCGGTTTACACTTTCAGTGTTTATGGTTACGATTTACAATTAAAAAATATCAGTTCTTGATTTATTTACGCCGATAAGTTCGAGTTATACACAAAAAGTCGGAATACGAAAATTGTTGATACTTTACTTCCACACTTTCAAAATGGCGCATCGTGGTCTACTTGTTACACACGCGAATAACATTAAACAAAATCATCGATCTTGGGAAGATTTTACTTGGTTTCAACTTGACTATTATGATTTTATGATTCAAGGTTGCATCGTTCATTGATATTCAGGATTCAGGTACACAGTTAAGATGGAATGACACAAATTTTACCAAATCCGAAACATACCGGACATTTATCAAAGGCTGAATTTTATGCAAATTACTAAGTCAACATTGTTAAATTGTTAATTTTATTATTTTATTATACAAAGAGTAATCAAAGATACAGTATAACATTGACAACACATGAAATTTCTGTTTACTTGTCGGACGTTGGTCAAACCTGGTTCAATATCGTATCCCAACACTGGAAAAAAATGTCATGAAATCCTATAGTACTGCATAGTCCGCACCCCTTCCATCAATTTCATTCCCAGGGTAAAAAACCGCGGACTATACAAGCCTTTCTACGGTAATTGTTTTTGAAAACTGAAGTACAAGTGCTATAATTCTTTACCAGAAAGTGTACATAACTGTATTATAATTTATGAGGTATACATGTGAATATCATCAGAAGTTGTGTACATGTATGTAATCAAGTGCATATTTGTCACATTTGCTTCAGAAAAAATTTATGACACAAATCGTTTCAAATCTTTTTTAAACATCTTTCCCTGCTGTAATGTGGTTTTCTTACTAAAACATGTAACTTATAATGCTGTCCAAAAAAAAAATTAAATCCCTACTTACCTACCCAACCCTTCAAGGCATGGGTTGGCAACATAAAACAAAGAATTTCTGAAGGGTGGCCAAATATAGTAAGAAAGATGTCAAACTGTATAAATTTCCCATTTTTACTTTTAGTTTTTTGTCTTTTTCATCTATGTGTTGGCTTGATTAACTTTATTGCCTTGTCTGTTATATTTTATATTCTTGTATTTCATGAGGGCTTCAGGGAATATTATTTGTACAGCTAAGTGTGTTCCCTAGCCTCTATAAATAAAGATTTATCAGAATTACCACGAAATGCCACAGTAAAAGATCTTAAAATGGCAGGTACTGTAAATTCAGAAATGTGTGCATGTATAAAATATTATTGCAATTAATGAATAAAGGAAAAAAAGATTACTGTAAATTCAGAAATTATTGCATGCATTTATTATTGCAATTTTGTCATTTGAGTTTAAAATGTGATTTTAATTTTTGCGATATTGGGAAAAAATCCTGTTGAATTCATATAAAAAATTTCAAAATGTGAGTTTAAATTATTGCGATTATAACCCTGTCGCATTTTTCGCAATAATAAAAACATCGCAATAATTTCTGAATTCACAGTAATATTCACAATTTCAGGAAATGTGCACTGCATGCAAATAATGCTATCAAAATTTAGAATGCATGTTTTCATTTTTTGCAATTTTTGCAATGAAAAAAAAAAATTAGCAAAACATTTCTGAATTTACAGTAGTGAATAAATATGTGAATATGTTCAATAAGGTGAAAAAAAATAATGGTAAAATGCTTCTGGAAAACAAGTCAGCAGAATATAAACCTTTTTTTCAAGTCCTTTCAATGCTATTTGGTAAATTCTACAAGAGGGACCAAGTTATTATAAAGGGAAATAACTTACAAAAACTTTTAATGTTTGATCATGGATATGTTTCAAGATCTCATCCACCCATTGATGACAGATTGATGAAGGGGAGATAATCAAAGTGGCACATGACTTCAGTGGCTTCTGGAAAAAACAAAAACTCAATTTAAATTAAATAGTTAGCATAAAATGAATATAAAATTAATAAAAATTATAATGAAAAATAAATATAAAGTTATACAAGATTTATTACAAATATGCTGTTTCCCATAATAACTTCAAACGGAATACTACGGAATGTACAGTTTGTCAAAATATGAAGCGATATGTTAGTTTTGCTTTTTCAATTTACAATGTATTTTACCTTTAGTATTCCATACACCAAGTATAGCTGACCTAGCCTATTACTATTAGTATTTTAAAAACAGACCAAAACACAAAAACTTACCAATGAACCATGAAAATGAGGTCAAGGTCAGTGACAGTTACAATGAGATTATGATGCTACTCACGGGGACAAATATTACAAGTAAACAAATGAATGTAATCTGATTGATTCTTGTTTCTGAAACATAGCTATTTATTTTCTACAGTTGATTTATATTTTTATATTTATATTTCTTACTAAAATATGCATAAACTAAAGCATATCTTTACATTTTTCATGGTGTATTCTTTAATGAAATGCATATTTTTTATATCTATCATGCATATTCTTTATAAAACTAAATGTGAATAAGTAAATACATAAAATATGAATTAACTAATATAAATAAGTGACTTCATACTCTTAAATGTGTTGTTATTTTCAGCTTTCCATAGGTTCGGACAGTTTTGCTCGATAGCAAACTTGTGAAAAATTATTTTAGAAACATGTTGCATTGTACATGTATGAAAATCAGTATCCTCCTTTTCTTTAGAATTTTTCTGTTTTTTTAAAGATCTGTTATATATACCTTTCCAATAAATTTGAATTCCCTAAATATCATAAAACTTATACTCTAAATTTGTCATTAAAAGTTTTCAACATTTAATCAAGACATACATTTAAAATAGAAAAATAATTAAAGATGGCAGTATCTTAACAGCAAAATTATAAAACACATACATTTCTAACTAAACAGTGAGGACACATGAACTCTGGCCTCGACAGGTCATGAAGGTCAAAGTTCACACATTCTGCATGTTGCCACAGTCCACATTGAATACACTGTATATTGCTTTTGGTGTCTTTTTGTTTAAATGCTTTACTTTCTTTTGTTCCACAGATACATTCAAAAAATTCTTTTGGTCCAACATCTTTGTGACTATCAAAGATATTTTTGTATTCTGTTTCTTCCTCTTTGAGTTCGGTACTTTTCTTTCTGCTTCCTTTCTTTCCCAAATTCAATTTATTAATAGTATTTTTGTCCTCCATAGAGTTTTCACTAGAAATCTCACCATCATTTTTCAATTCACAACCTGGTGTAGATTGGTTACTTTGTTCCTCTTGATCTACATCTAATCCAGTTTCAACTAGTTTATCACATGACACTGATACTTCAGAAGATGTATTAACACAATCCAATGAGCTACCGTTTACAGATTCACTGCGAGACAGTTGATTGTCAACTACTACTTCCTGTGTGGTTAAACAGGAAGTTTTGTCACTACATGTATTTACTACAGTCTGATCACTGATATCTTTAACTGAATCTGAAGAAACAAATGCACCATTGTTAGTATTGTTTGTACTCGGAATGTCTACAGATTGGTCTGTGGCTTCAACTGGTGAACCATTTAATGTCTCTGGATTAACAGATTGAATCTTTTCTCCCTCATCTGTCTTTGTTTCCATCTAAATAAACAAGGCAGAGTATTATCATCTGATACATATTTAAGAACATCCTGGCACTTCAAATTTAGAGGAGGTTGGATTTTCAGGGTTTTACCTCAAACTGTTAAAGATTTTTTATACCCATATCTAATATATGATTGGATGATTTCCAAAATTGATCTCAAACAAAATTCTAGTGATTCAACAAAAAATAAATTGATTTTAAATTTGTACTAAATATATGGTAAAAACTCAGGATTTGTCCCAGCTTCAACTCTATTAAAAAAGATAATCACAGTCTAAAAGTCTGATTTTATAAGAGGCTCATAGGACCATATAACACATAATTACTAAAAAGGTCACACCAAGATTAACTCTGATCCTACATTATCATTCATTGGATAGCATTTTTTGTTGATTTCCTGGGTACAGGGGAACCATGAATTTAAATGTTCACCAAATTGCAAATTTTCTTTGAAATTGTATGCAGACTTCCACAAAACTACGAAATATCCACGAAAATGCAAGTTTTCTTAAATCAACGAAATACCCACAAAAATTAAGGAATCCAGTTTATAAGAATATACAGTACATATTGACAAGTTGATTCAATATCTATACTTGAGCATTTTTATTCTTTGTCATTGGGTTGCTGTCATTATATACATCTTTCCCAAATCTTCTTTTAATCATATTTGCAAATTACTTGAGCATTGTTGTGCTATAAGCATGTACAGGCAAATAGATAAAACATTGACACATATAGATATAAAATGCTTCGCTGAGCACAGCTGGATACGACCGCAGAGGCCCAACCCTGAACAGTTTGGGCGAAAATGGACATAATATTCGTGCTTGATACAGGTCTGAATGTGGATAGTAATTAAATATTTGACACATAATAGGTTTCTGACACCGAATAACTGTAGTCAAAGAACTTAAAATTGGTTATATGATTTGAATTTATATTCAATTTTTTGCTTTTGTGAAATACACTATGCTGTTGCGTATTGACCCCCCCCCCCCCCCTCCTTTTTTTTTGCAAAAAAAAATATTTGAAGAAATTTTCTTTTTAATTTCTGAAAACTGAAATGAAAAAAAAAATTGCCCCTCCACAATTTCTTTCCCCCCTCCCCCACCCTTTTCCAAAAAAAAATTCTTTCCCTCAAGATATGGTCATAATCTTAATTCAAATTTCCAATGGAGTTTGCAACCATAATTACCAATTTAAATACATCATAAAAGTCTTAAATAGATAATTTTTAAGCAGTATAAGGGAGGTAATCCAGCATTGTACAACATTGTACAATTTTGTTTTTGGATTACCTTCCTTACACTGCTTTTAAATTGTCCATTAACTAGGAAACCCTTGTTTTTTCCCCTTTGAGCCATAACCCCCCAAAGCCAATCCTAACCATCCCTTTGTGGTATAATTTCAGAGAGATCCATACACTTAAACACAAGTTATTGTCTGGAAGTTACAAAAAAGCTTATTTTTGGTCCCTTTTTGGCCCCTAATTCCTTAACTGTTGGTACTATAACCCCCAAAATCAATCCCAACCTTCCTTTTGTGGTATTGAACCTTATGGTAAAATTTCATAGAGATCCATTTACTTAAACTAAAGTTATTGTGCGAAAACCAATGTGTCTTTGGACGACAACGACGACGCCAACGTCATACCAATATACGACTGCAAAAACTTTTTGCGGTCGTATAAAAACCAATGGCAAAGATCATTTTACAACTGAAGCCTAGTGCAAGATTCTTTTTGTTAAATTTCTTGTAGGATTTTTTTCACAGCAGGTAATTTTTTTACAAACCAGAACATCATTTTGTCAACCTAACAAAATTGTTAGTATTACAAATGTACATATAGTTCATAAGATTGATCTTAAAAACTCATATAAGCACTATAAAACATGGGGTTTTTTTTTTCATTTAATGGAAATAACCCTTATTTAACGTTTGTAAAAAAAAAAGAAAAAGATAAATTCTGAGCATAAATAAAAGAACAGAGTTCAAATGTTCCCTGCACTGCACATATTTTACCTATTCAAGGGCAATAACTAAAAAAACCTTTTTTTTTGTTCTTTAAAACTTTTTACAAATATCTTAAGAGAACTGAAGGCTTGAGGGGAAATACAATGAAATTTCTAATATAAATAAATATTTCACAGGGCTTAACACCTTTACAAATATTTGATTGGCACTGATTTTCCAACTTGTCCGAAACATTGCTTATATAATGTATAAACCTTTGATATAAATTTGATAAATATCTGGCAAGAATTGTACACATGAGAGCGCTAACAATGCAACTTTCCAAATAATTAATATTTCCATGGGGCTTAACTCTTTTAAAAATAGTTGATTGGCACTGATTTTCAAACTTGTCTGAGACTTGCTGATATAAGCCTATGATATAAGTTTTATAAATATCTGGCAAGAATGTTACGCATGAGAGCGCTAAGAAGACCGGACAGATGTACAAACAGATGCTCTGTATTTCTATGTCCACCGCAATGCGCTGCACGGGGGACAAAAATTGTCACTGTTTTAAATACACACCATGTCAGTCCTAGGATTTAATATAATGCAAGCTAATACTTCAACAGTCTTTCCAAGCCCCATTTCATCAGCCAATATACCGCCTGGAAGTCTTTCTGTAACAGGGAATTTCTTCAATGTTAAACTGTAATGACAAAAATATAGTGGGTGATAACATTCATGTATTTATGTCGTTTTCAATATTCTAAAAGTAAGGAAACATCGAAAGCAACTCTGCCAATTTAACTTAAGCTAAAATAAAAAATAACTTTAGGAAATAGACTCCTTAAAATTTTTCAGAAGTCTGCATTTCATTTAATAGCATTATTAAACGAATATCGCAGATGTTGTCCCGAGTGAAAGATCCTATAATTTTATGTATAATACATATTCTCCAAACAATACTTCCATGAACTAAAATATTTGCTTAAATGTGCATTTGTTAATAGTACCATTTACTATGGAATGTGGTTACTGTTAATACAGATTTTTTTTGCGATGCTCTTATTTAAGGATGTATTCCTCTGACGTTTCAGTCTCGTTGAAATCTCATTCTGGAATTATTTCCAAAACATGTGATACAAGTGGAAAATATCAATGAACTAAAAAAAATATTATAATAAAACTTAACTCTGTGAAAAAATTTGTGAATTTACAATAAGTAGTTTTTGAGTAATAAAATTTTCAAATTTTATAACCAATCAAGTCAGTCTCATTAGCCAAAATGTTGAGAAAATGGGTGAGGGGTACAAGAAATGATTTTACCAGATACATGTACATTCTATATCAAGTTTTTCTTTTCAAATTTCTTAGATATGTATTTTTTCAATCATTTATAACAAAGAAGTTGAAATAATATGCTTTTTGTTCTAAAAAAAGAGAAAAATCCCAAATTTACAAAATTGACAGCATGGTAAATTTGACACGAAAAAGCAACAAAATTTTATATAACTTTCTTATATTAACACCTACCTATAGTTTTTTCAAGTTAAATTTATTCAGATTGGTCCACTTCATCTTTATTGAAAGTATGAAAAAAAAGTTTAATTGTGAAATTGTGATTTTTTTCATGATAATAGCCCAAAAATTGGTAAAAATTGATGAAAAATGGGAAAATCATCAAAATTAAGTACTTTCAAATGGCCGTAGCAAAAAAAGAAGTGCACCATCATATGATTTTTTTCTTCACCAATTATTTTTTTACAGTCATATAAACCCAAAAATCAGGTTAAGAAAAAATGTTTAATTCTAGACATTTTTGGCTCCTCAGAGGTGTACATCCTTAATGCAAAAATTGTGACATGCTAGGATTTTCAAAAATAAAATGCTTCGCTGGGGCGCAGCTTGATACGACCGCAGAGGTCGAACCCTGAACAGTTGGGGCAAGTATGGACACAACATTCAAGCTTGATACAGCTCTGAATTTGGATTGTTATTAAATATTTGACACAGCATAGGTTTCTGACACAGAAAGAATGTGGTCTAAGAACTTGAATTTTTTTAATTTCCCTATTATGGTCCAATGTCCAAAATCAAAATACATGGTTAGATTCAGCATATCAAAGAACCCCATATATTCAATTTTTGTTAAAATCAAACAAAGTTTAGAATTTCCCTATTATGGTCCAATGTCCAAAATCAAAATACATGGTTAGATTCAGCATATCAAAGAACCCCATATATTCAATTTTTGTTAAAATCAAACAAAGTTTAATTTTGGACCCCAACTTGGACAAACTTGAAAACTGGGCCCATAATCAAAAATCTAAACACATGTTTAGATTCAGCATATCAAAGAACCCCTGTAATTAAATTTTTGCTAAAATCAAACTAAGTTTAATTTTGGACCCTTTGGACCTTAATGTAGACCAATTTAAAACACGGGACTTAAAATTAAAAATCTAAATACACGGTTAGATTTGGAATATCAAAGAACCCCAATAATTCAATTTTTGATGAAATCAAACAAAGTTTAATTTTGGACCCTTTTGACCTCAATATGAACCAATTTGATAGCGGGGCCCACAAATAAAAAATCTAAATTCATGGTTAGATTCAGCATATCAAAGAACCCCATATATCATGTATATTCAATTTTTGTTGAAATCAAAAAAAGTTTAATTTTGGACCCCAACTTGGACAAACTTGAAAACTGGGCCCATAACAAAGATCTAAACACATGTTTAGATTCAGCATATCAAAGAACCCCAAGAATTCAATTTTTGTTAAAATCAAACTAAGTTTCATTTTGGACCCTTTGGACCTCAATGAAGACCAATTTAAAAAACGGGACCCAAATTAAAAATCTAAAAACACGGTTAGATTTGGCATATCAAAGAACCCCAATAATTCAATTTTTGATGAAATCAAACAAAGTTTAATTTTGGACCCTTTTGACCTCGATATGAACCAATTTGATAGCGGGGCCTACAAATAAAAAATCTAAATACATGGTTAGATTCAGCATATCAAAGAACCTCATATATTCAATTTTTGTTGAAATCAAACAAAGTTTAAATACTGGACCCTATCTTGGACCAACTTGAAAACTGGGCCCATAATCAAAAATCTAAACACATGTTTAGATTCAGCATATCAAAGAACCCCATATATTCAATTTTTGTTAAAATCAAACAAAGTTTAAATACTGGACCCTATCTTGGACCAACTTGAAAACTAGGCCCATAATCAAAAATCTAAACACATGTTTAGATTCAGCATATCAAAGAACCCCAAGAATTCTGCTATAATTTCTTTTATCTAACAGTACTTGTACATACCTTCCTACCAATTTATTATAATATAATTCTGTACCATCGGTCAGTCGGATAACATTATACAGCATGTGTAAGTCTGCATCTGTAAAGTTAAATATGATACACACATGTATATGTACAATAAAAATACACTTGTAGCATTCATTCATACATTAAATCTCTCCCCAATTTATCTAAATGTATGGAAATTATCACAAACAAAAATAAATGGGGAATGTGTCCATGGGACACAGATGATGCCCACGCTTGCATATCATTTAAAGTTATAAAGAGACATAACTGAAGAATGGTAAAAGTGACACGACCCAAATATGTTATTGATCTGTCATAACATTTGGTTGAGGCAAACTTAAGTTAAAGAAGGAAACGAAAAATTTGGCAATTTTTCCATTTGTAAAGGGGCATAACTCTAGAACAGTAAAATTGACACCAGCAAAAATCAAATTTGATCTGTATTTTGTGGTAATAAGCATTGTGAATAAGTTTCATAACATTTGGTTGAGGCAAACTTAAGTTAGAGAACGGAAACGAAAATTCAGCAATTTTTCCTTTTGTAAAGGGGCATAACTCTAGAACGGTTAAAGTGACACCGCCAAAATTCAAATTTGATCTGTATTTTGTGGTAATAAGCATTGTGTATAAGTTTCATAACATATGGTTGAGGCAAACTTAAGTTAGAGAACGGAAACCAACTTTGGGACGTACGGACGTACAGACAAACAGACGGACAAGGGTAAAACTTAATGCCCCCTCCACTACAGGGGGGGGGGCATAAATATTACAATCAAGCAGTCACAAATACTGTATTGATAATTCATATTTTCTGTGCTATAAAATAAATAGTTTCTGGGTTCATGTAAAATAGTTTAGTACATGTTTAAATATGCCATTTAAATTCTACATTTGCATTATACTATCAAAATTAGAAAAGGTGAGACATATCTCTGTGTCAACATTTCATTTTTATTTGTAATACTTCAATCACTCTAAATTGTGCTATTTACCTTTGTCTTGATAAATTCTTGTATCAGACTCTTGTGTCATCATCCATCTGACAGCCTCTTTCTGATACGGCCTCAAACTGGGAATCAGACAAGGATGTTGGATATCTGGTGATGCCTCACCTGTGTACTTATTTTTCTCTATACCATGATGTTTTTTGACAGACAGATACAGATCTTCTATATCATGTTTTCTTGTGAATTCACTAATGTACTCTGCAACAAATTTCTATATATATTTTTTATAATAATATAAATAGATATTTCATATAATTTTCTAATTTCTCTGAATTCCTTTCGTGATTTATATATCTTATTCAAAACGGTACTATCTAAAACAAACATGTTTAAAGAGTGAAGGGCTGAGATTTAAAAATAAACTGGTTCAAACCAGCCACATACATTTGACATAGAAAGTTATATATTGAGCCTGTCCTAAGTCCAGAGCCTTGCCAGTGGTTGTCTTAGTCACAACTTGTAAAGTTATGTTTTTAAATTATTTGGAAAATAATGGAGTACAGGGTTCTCATTATGGATTTATGAAGTCCAGGGACTCCTTAATTTTGACCAAGGCAAGTTCAATATTGAGAAGAAGAAATATTATTGCTGTATAGTTTTTCAGCCTCCATGAAAAAAAAAAGCAAGAAAATGACATCAAATTTTTGATTATTTTTTAAATTATGCTCTAAAACGATGACATGTGTGCTCAGTTGATACAAATTGACAATGATGAGTACATACAGATTTTCATGTCCAGGACTCATGGAATGGCCTTAGTGAGAACCCTGTTGTAGGTGGTAGATCTCTTAAAATCTCTTTAATATATTTCCACTTATTGTAACTTAAGCCAAGGAAATTTAAAGGTTGCTGTATTGTTATGACACCTGTTTATTGTTGAAGACCGTATCATGTGTATATTGACAACTGTCTTTTTAGGATGCTGTCTAAATGACCCATACCCAACAATTGCTTTTATTTATAATCATCCTAGATGAGTCCTTGAGATTTAGTGAAGTAGCTGATTTCATTATCTTTTCTTTAATAAACCACCAAAATCAAAAAATATAAATATAAACAAACTTATTTTGTGGCTACTTTTATTCATGTTAAGACCTTTCTAGCAGACATTGATACTATTTATTTTCTTGATTTCTAAACTTTGTTGATGTTTTCTTATAATAGAAAACTCTTTTCGTGACAATTACTATTCCCATTATTCTTCTAGCCGCCAAAGTCCTGAAAAAATAAATTATTTTACAGTGTATTACCATGTTGTCTAATTCCAAAGAAATGACCAATAATACTCTGAACTGCCAAGCTATGCTTTTTCATTTTCAGTGGCTCACAGGCAAACTTCATATTAACGAGGGCAGCTTGTCTAAGGTAGACAACTATGTCAAGCGACTGGTGATTCTGGTCATATCTTTCTAATACCAACTGAAATATTTTGTCTGCTGCAAAAGCTCCCAAAACCTACAAATGAATGTAAAATGTAAAGTGGGTATTTTTGCAGGCTTTAAACATAGCCATGTTAGCAATTTCAAATGCCAAACCGTTTTGTCTTTTTTCATATTCACATTTTTCTTGCCACTCATTCTTATCTGTGAGACTTTCTGAATAATCAAATTTATGTGAGGGATTTTCTTGTTTGTTTTATTTTAATCACCAAATTAGAAAAAAAAATAAACTCCAAATATAAATACCCCATTTGACCATACATAATTGTACAGTAAAAACAGTTAAAATATTTAACCATTAATTAAATTGAAAATGTTTATTATCCATTTTAAATATCTAATTGCTGGAAATAAATTTTCCTCAGGAATTTCATAATTTCCATGTCTGACAGCTTTTAAATTCGTATTTGCTGGGAATCATATCATAAAAGATTGTCTATATTGTCAAAGTGTCTGAAATATCACAGAAAATCAATCAGACTGGAAAGTTTACTTTACAGATATGAAGACCTATTATATCATAATTTCAACAAGATATAAAGACCTATTATATTATAATTTCAGCAATCAACATTGATCTTTTGTCAAGATTTGAGAACCATGAGCTCATTGAAATTCCAAGCACAGAATTCAGAAGATAAATATTCATATTCATTTACGGTACATGTATTTCCTGGAAATGAACAAATTGCAATGATTAGGAATTTTTGACAGATTTTCAAACAACTGAAAAAGACTATATAAATGAAGTACCTCGCTAGGTAAAGAACATGATATACACCAAAATTTACACTTCTTTAATCCATTTGCAGTATTTTCTTCTGTGTAAATAAAACTTTCGCACCCATCACAACCAACATATAACCAAAATTCTTCTGTCCGGCTCAAACAATCGTCTGTTAATTCAAAAAGAGGCTTTTCCTCTGAAATTGTCAATGAGAATGTTGCAATTTGTTTACACCATTCATTTGATTTGATTCTAAGCTGTTGCTGAATTGTTACGCAATGTACACAATTTTCCAGATTCTCGTTTAAGACTGACTGAACGTAGGAGTCATTGACTGCTGAATATTCCTCTTGAGACTGCACACCCGATGAAGTACTTGGCTGACAGGACTTGGCTCTAGCTTCAATCTGTTCCTTCAAGAGTTGAGAATCATTATCTGAACATATAGACAGGGAACCAGATGCCCCATCTAACAAATTCCATGTCATGCATCTTCGTTTTTCTTCATCTGCTCTTTTTGGCACTGCCTTCTTTCTTTTTCCCATATTCACATTAATACTTTATTCCAAACCTAGAAATAAAATAAAATACATGTGTATTTAATATTTTTCGTTTGACGATGGCGGAGATCATTTGACGATGACGGAAAATATTTTAACGATGGCGGTGCGCCATCATAAAACAGGTCATGGAGATCACTGCATTAATAAGGAAGTGATAAATGCTAGATGCATCCCTTGTTACAATTTTTTATAGAAATTTTAATTGTCTTAAAATTAAAAGAGAATAACTGGCCATGGTATAGCTTTGATTGCATCTACAAAGCATGATGACCAGCTGTCCGATTGGTATTCCCTGTCCAATTGCTCAGTAAGACATGTAAGAGTGATGATACAAAAAAATTCATGCATGATAATTAATTAGTCAATTACAGGTTAACCAAGGATTTGTATAGTAATACTTACTATACAAATCCTTGGGTTAACTTATAGAAAAAGAAAAAAGAACACAGAATTAACCGGGGGGAAAAGATGAATGGTCTAAAACGTTTGGACAGTTATGAGACAAGGTTACTGGTAATAGTAGATTTGATTGGTATTAACATGTTACTTGTTAGATGCATATGCTCTTGGTCATTCAAGTCTTTGTGACTTGGATGGAGAGTTGTCTCATTGGCACTCATACCACATCTTCTTATATCTATTGACTCTTTCACAACACATCCTTAGACAAGATAACTAGTATTAAAGTTTATGACAGGAGTTATTGATGATTAAATTGAGGCAGTTGCACTATCAAGATTTTATAAGCTGAGTCTAGAAGTGATAATTTTAGTACAATCAGAAATTAAATTAGTATCCTAATATAGTGTACATGTATATCTTTATTTCTTAAGGTGGTACCAAACACCTTGACTAAAATTAATTTGGCTCATTTAATTTTCATAAAATTTTGACAAAATATTTACTTTGACCCTTTGACAAGAGTTAAAAAATTTCAAAAAACTTGAACCACACACTTTATCAGAAAAATTTTATTGGATATATAGCAGTTTGACAAACGCTAATTTTGATCATTGAGAAGCTTAATATCTCCTTAATAATAGAATGAGATTAAAACATTCAGCTGATTTTTACAGAGTTATCTCCCTGTAGTGTTATGTACCACCTTAAGAGTAAACATGAAACAATAGTATTATATGATTTAATCTCTCTCCATAACAATGCCTATAATCATATACTGACCTAGTAACAAACTTAAAGTTACTAGCCTTTACAGTTATCACTTGGCAGAAAAAGGGGAATAATTATATTTTGTACTTTTTGTTACCAGTGACGGAAAAATTCCGGATTGTTACGCTTTCTCAGCACTTTAAGTACATGTACGAACATTTCCTACTGAAGGTCGGTGGTTCTTTCTGGGCACTCCAGCTTCCTCCACCAATAAAAACTGACCGCCACAAAATGGCGTTAAACACCAATCAATCAATCAATCAAGTACAAACATACAGTTGTGACCAGGACTAATCATAGAATGGATAGAGTAATGTTTAAAGTCAAGGGAAATTTATTAATACATATATATCATAGAGTAAGTTAAGCTTTGCATTTGAAATTCAACCCAATTACAGAATTACAAAACTATTTATCATGTTTATGCCAATACATTGACTGATATAGAAAATAAATAAAAATAGGTGATTAGGCCTCTTAACACTATATGCAGAAGTTTCAGTCAGTAGAATTGAGAATGGAAACGGGGAATGTGTCAAAGAAACAAAAACCTGACCAAAGAGCAGAAAACAGCCCAAGGCCACCAATGGGTCTTTAACACAGCGAGAAAATCCCGCACAGGGAGGCAGGCTTCAGCTGGCCCCTAAACAAAAATGTGTACTAGTTCAGAGAAAATGAACGTCATCCTAAACTCCAAAACATATAAATGTACCGAAATTAAAAAAAACATTCAAGACTAACAAAGGCCAGAGGTTCCTGACTTGGGACAGGCGCAAAAATGGGGCAGGGTTAAACATGTTATATGAGATCTCAACCCTCCCGTAAAACTCTAGCCAATGTAGAATAAACAAACGCACAGCAATATCCACAGTAAAACTGAGTTTAAAAGACCATGACGGGGGGGCTTAATAATCTCCATGTATTTGAGATGTGATAATGCTAAAAGAACTATACACCTAACATTATTGACAAACCATTTTTGGTTCCACTCAAAGTGACCCCATCAAACATGTCAAAAGAACTTGTTAAATGCAACACCTGACAAAAATCGCCCCACCCTTTTAAGTTAATGAAAGATGCCCAAGTCAACACCTGCTTCAAATTAGCTAAAGTGTGGGTTTTGCTCGTTTCTGAAGGTCATAAGGCGACCTGTAGTTGCTAACATCCAAGTGCACTTGCATGTCATCATAGGGAAGCAAGACAACTCGCCCCACACCAAATCGCCCCCCTTTTTCACGAACTTGACCCACTTTTTGATAAAATACTCCGCTGGGCGCAGCTTGATACGACCGCAAAGGTCGAACCCTGAACAGTTGGAGCAAGTATGGACACAACATTCAAGCTTGATACAGCACTGAATTTGGACTGTTATTAAATATTTGACACAGCATAAGTTTCTGACACAGAATGAATGAGGTCTTTCAACCATATAATTATTATTTGCTTTTATATATAAATCAGAAATAACCAATTTAAAATGGAAAATTTTAAAGAAAAAAAAATGAAAAAAACGAAAAAAAAAAACCCCATGATTCATCACCCCCAAACTCAATCCCAGCTTTCCCTTTGTGGTATGGTACCTTGCAGTACAATTTCAGAGAGATCCATACACTTGAACACAAGTTATTGTCTGGAAAATTGGAAAAATGCTTATTTTTGGCCCCTTTTTGGCTCCTTTTTCCTAAACTTTTTGGGCAATTACCCCCAAACTCAATTCCAGCTTTCCCTTTGTGATATGGAACCTTGTAGTACAATTTCATAAAGATCCATACACTTACACACAAGTTATTGTTATGAAACTAGAAAAATGCTTGTTTTTTGCCCCTTTTTTGGCCCCTAATTCCTAAAATTTTGAGGCAATTACCCCCAAAAGCAATCCCAGCATTCCCTTTGTGATATGAAACCTTGTGGTACAATGTCAGAGAGATCCATACACTAACACACAAGTTATGTCTGGAAGTTACAAAAATGCTTATTTTTGGCCCCTAATTCCTTAACTGTTGGTACCATAACCCCCAAAATCAATCCCAACCTTCCTTTTGTGGTATTGAACCTTATGGTAAAATTTCATAGAGATCCATTCACTCAAACTAAAGTAAGAGTGTGAAAACATATGTGTCTTTGGACGACGTCGTCGACGCCAACGTCATACCATTATATGACCGCAAAATTTTTTGGCAGTCGTATAAAAAATCGCCATACTGTTGTTTACCAACTTGACTCACTTTCTAAAATATCGCTCCACTCTAGCTGGTTTACCAACTCACCCCACTTATGACAAAAGTGATAATATATAATAAAGGTCTGCCAACTCGCCCCACTTATGAAAACTTATCTACACAGAATCAAACAAATCACTTGTGATACTAATAAAAATCGAAAATTGAATAATGATTATGATTGAAATTAAATGATGCTTCATTTCTTCATGTTCTTAAAATAAAATTGTAGATACATTATTTTTTATTATGTAATTTTAGTATTTATTGGAGAATAACTTTATAATAATCATCAACACCCATGATTCTTGACTTATCTAATAAAACAGTGATTATATTTACCAGAAAACAAATGTCATAAACAGTTACAATAGCCAATAACATCGTACGTCACAGAAATGCTGATACTTACTTCTTTCTGCTTTATTTCAACCAAAAGAAAAGAGTTAAAAAAACAAGATGCATTTCTAAGGTTTTCATCAGTATTCATTTAATTCATAAGTGGGGCGAGTTGGTAGACCTTAATTCCGTAGTTTAATTCTTTTATTCATTAGTTGGGCAAGATGGCAGACTTTTATTCAATGGGATTAAACTCCTTTTTATAAGTGGGGCAAGTTGGTAGTCATTAATGCAGTAAGATGTTATTCTTTTTTTCATAAGTGGGACGAGTTGGCAGGACTAAATTCATCGGGATTTTACTATTTTTCATAAATAGTATCGGGTCCGTTCGCCCAATACATGTTCGCACCCCACACATTCGCCCTCTGGGTCCGTTCACACCCTACACGTTAGCAACCTTTTTTTAAATTCAAAAACCTGATGAATAATTAATTGTTTTTTCAGATGTTTATATCAAAATATTTTTATTTTCATAAATAAAAAATCAGGAATTTTTAAATAAAATATTGTTTTAAATTGATTTGATGATTAATTATTATATGTATGATTATTGTTAATATGGTGTTTACACAGCTAAACTTGGTGTTATTGTTATGTGTTTGAAAATCGATTTTAATCGTGATTGTTGTTTTAACTAGCTTTGATGTAAATTCTGCATGAAGTTAGCATGTATTTAGCTTGGCATGAGTAATAAACTGCTTCGCTGAGCGCAGCTGGATACACCCGCAGAGGTCCAACCCGGAACAGTTGGGGCAAAAATGGACACAATATTCAAGCTTGATACAGGTCTGAATTTGGATTGTAATTCAATATTTGATATATTATAGTTTTCTGAATAAATATAGCCAAAGAACTTGAAATTAGTTATATGAAAGATTTCTTGCTGTTGTGCAATACACTGTGCTGTTGCGTAATACTTAGTAAATCTGTTGTCAGACAATAAACAAATAAAATCTTATAACTCTGAAACATAAAATCGAAAATTTATAAAAACAAAAGGGAGCTTACAAAAATAGATATAAACCATTTACCAAAGTTTCATAAAAAATGCTGAAAGCATCTTTGAGTTATTGTCCGAAAACTGGAAAATCCCCCTTTTTGTAATGAATAAAACCCCATAAATCGGAAACGTATAGTCTGAAATTTATAAAAATCAAAAGGGAGCTCATGTCGATAGAAATAAACAATTCAACAAAGTTTCTTGCAAATTGGTGAAATTGTTTTTGAGTTATTGTCTGAAAACTGGAAAATCCCCCCTTTTTTAATGAATAAAACCCCAAAACTCGGAAACGGTAAATCCGGAATTTATAAAGTATAAAAGGGAGCTCACGTCAATAGATATGAACAATTCACAAAAGTTTCATGCAAATTGAAGAAATCATTTTTGAGTTATTGTCCGAAAACTGGAAAATCCCCCCTTTTTTAATGAATAAAACCCCAAAAATCGGAAATGGTAAATCTGAAATTTATAAAAACCGATAGGGAGCTCACATGAATAGATATAAACAATTCGCCAAAGTTTCATGCATATTGGTTAAAGCGTTTTTGAATAAATGTCAGACATGTTGACGACGGACGAACAGACAGACGGACAGGCGCTCAACTGTATACCATAATATGTCCCGTAAACGGGCGTATAAAAACAATGATTATTCAAAATGTTGTTGTTGTTGAGTTTAATAACGGTTTGGTATTTTATCATTAATAAAATGCTCCGCTGGGGCGCAGCTTGATATGACCGCAGAGGTCGAACCCCTGAACAGTTGGGGCAAGTATGGACACAACATTCAAGCTTGATACAGCACTGAATTTGGATTGTAATTAAATATTTGACACAGCATAGGTTTCTGACACAGAATGAAAGTGGTCTAAGAACTTAAAAAAATTTTATTTACCTATTCAAACCATATCATTATTATTTGCTTTTATATATAAATCAGAAATAACCAATTTAAAATGGAAAATTTTAAAGAAAAAAAAGGAAACCCCCCGCCCCCCCAAATTTTTTGAACCCCCTTATGATTCATCACCCCCAAACTCAATCCCAGCTTTCGCTTTGTGGTATGGTACCTTGCAGTACAATTTCAGAGAGATCCATACACTTGAACACAAGTTATTGTCTGGAAACTAGAAAAATGCTTGTTTTTGGCCCCTTTTTGGCCCCAAATTCCTAAACTTTTAGGGCAATTACCCTCAAACTCAAACCCAGCTTTCCCTTTGTGATATGGAACCTTGAAGTACAATTTCATAGAGATCCATACACTTACACACAAGTTATTGTCCTGAAACTTGAAAAATGCTTGTTTTTTTGCCCTTTTATGGCCCCTAATTCCTAAAATTTTGAGGGAATTACCCCCAAAATCAATCCCAGCCTTCCCTTTGTGGTATGGTACCTTGCAGTACGATTTCAGAGAGATCCATACACTTGAACACAAGTTATTGTCTGGAAACTAGAAAAATGCTTATTTTTGGCCCCTAATTCCTAAAATTTGGAGGCAATTACCCCCAAAATCAATCCCAGCATTCCCTTTGAGATATGGAACCTTGTGGTACAATGTGAGAGAGATCCATACACTTACACACAAGTTATGTCTGGAAGTTACAAAAATGCTTATTTTTGGCCCCTAATTCCTTAACTGTTGGTACCATAACCCCCAAAATCAATCCCCACCTTCCTTTTGTGGTATTGAACCTTATGGTAAAATTTCATTGAGATCCATTGACTTCAACTAAAGTTAGAGGGCGAAAACTAATGTGTCTTCGGACGACGATGACGACAACGACGCCAACGTCATACCAATATACGACCACAAAATTTTTTTGCGGTCGTATAAAAACATATTCAACACAAAAAACCTTTTTAGAAAGTCACTTTATTTTGAAACAATGAAAAAAAAAATTATAGCAATACACTAACCATTGCTAACCCAAACACGATTAAAGAAATATTCAACACAAAAATCGTTTTTAGAAAGTCACTTCATTTTGAAACAATGGAAAAACTTATTTATAGCAATACAATATCCAAATCATGATTACAAAAATATTAAACACAAAAATTGTATTTAGAAAGTCACTTCATTTTGAAACAATGAACAAAAAAAATATTTACAGAAAAATGAGCAATACACTTACCAAAGTACAATTGAAAAATTATTTAACACAAGACCAATAAAAAGGGTGTGAACGTACGTTATATAATTTGGGCAAACGAATCTGGATTCGTCATAATTGACATAAATGGGGCGAGTTGGCAGACCTTTATTCAGCGGGATTTTAACCTTTTTAATCAGTGGAGCGAGTTGGCAGACCTATATTCAACGGTAAACAAGAGTGGGGCGGTTTTTTAGAAAGTAGGGCGAGTTGGTGAAAAAGTGGGGCGATTTGGCAGTGGGGGTGGGGCGAGTTGTCAAGGAATTTCCATCAACGGTCTGGAATTATAGTTATCTCGTACCATTGTAAACTCGTACCAATGTCAACTCGTACCACTAAAAAAGAACTCGTACCAATGCAAACTCGTACCACGGTAAATTCATACCATTGTAAACTCGTACCAACTTAGGCCAAAATAAATAAATAGTGTGTTTCCGGTTTCCCGACCCTACGTCCGTTTCTGACGCCGACCCTAAACATTTTATTGACAAAAATAAAATAAAAATATTAAAAATCCGTATTTTTCTGTCTGTCCGGATTTGACTATTCGCTTAGAAAACTACAGATCTTCAAAACGTTTGATAGCAATGATCAATATAGATAAGTAAAGCGTTTCAAGAACCAAGATTTTAAATAAACAAAAAAAATACGAAGTTGACGCATTTTGCTCAACTTCTTTGCACAGATGCAAGACAAGATTTTTTAAATATTTGTATATATAGTGAATAATGTATTCAGTATATATACATATATTAACAAAATCTCATTTTGTACCTGTGGTTCTTTGAACCAAAAGTCAGAATCGTTTCAGGTTGTACAGACTGTATCTAATTCTGTCGGTTAATTGACAAATAATTTAAGAGTAAAATGAAATCAATTTACTGCTAAAATCAATCCAGCTTTTGTTGTGAAAAATGCTCTTACGAATGTTGTAAAAAATTGTTCTTAGGGCAACATATACGGCTGTTAATGCTTTTGAGGATTTGACAGTTTGAGTTCACGACGGCAAGTGGGCAGACAATGTGTAACAAAGAATAAAAAGCTTTCCCCAGTAGGCAGACATGGTGTATGATTCATGTTCATTTATAAATGAATATGCCCCAGCACCATGTCTACTTTTATTCTTTCATATTTTCTCTGGCTGGTCCCACAACATTTTATACTAGAGAAGGAAAAAAAAATCATGTCCTAATAATATCTACAATCTTTTTCCATAGATTTAATAAGACAAAGATTTCACTCTTCTCAAAACCTGGAATTTTAATATTGTCAGCCCCTCTTCAAGATTAAATTCTGTCAAACATCAACACACATCTATATATTAGATAATAAAATGCTCCGCAGGGCGCAGCTTGATACGACCGCAGAGGTCGAACCCTGAACAGTTGGGGCAAGTATGGACACAACATTCAAGCTTGATACAGCTTTGCATTTGGATTGTGATTAAATATTAGACACAGCATAGGTTTCTGACACAGAATGAATGTGGTCTAAGAACTTAAAAATTTTAAATTGGACATTCACCTATTATGGTCCAATATCCAAAATCTAAATACATGGTTAGATTCAGCATATCAAAGAACCCCAAGAATTCAATTTTTGATGAAATCAAACAAAGTTTAATTTTGGACCCTTTTGACCTCAATGTGGACAAAGTTGATAACGGGGCCCAAAATTCAAAAATCTAAATACATGGTTAGATTCAGTATATCAAAGAACCCCATATATTCAATTTTTGTTGAAATCAAACAAAGTTTAATTTTGGACCCCGATTTGGACCAACTTGAAAACTGGGCCCATAATCAAAAATCTAAATACATGTTTAGATTCAGCATATCAAAGAACCCTAAGAATTCAATTTCTGTTAAAATCAAACTAAGTTTAATTTTGGACCCTTTGGACCTTAATGTAGACCAATTTGAAAACGGAACCAAAAATTAAGAATCTAAATACACGGTTAGATTTAGCATATCAAAGAACCCCAATGATTCAATTTTTGATGAAATCAAACAAAGTTTAATTTTGGACCCTTTGGACCTCAATGTGGACCAATTTAAAAACGGGGCCCAAAATCCAAACACTAAATACACGGTTAGATTCAGCATATTAAAGAACCCCAAGAATTCAAGAATAAAACCCCATTGAAATTGGTCAAGAAATAAGCAATTTATAAGAAGTATCTTCTTTTGCACAATACTGTGCAATTAAATATTTCTTGCTATTGCACAATACTGTACAATTGACAATTTCTTGCTATTGCGCAATTTTGTGCTATTGGATATTTCTTGCTATTGCGCAATACTGTGCAATTGAAGATTTCTTGCTATTGCGCAATACTGTGCAATTGAAGATTTCTTGCTATTGTGCAATACTGTGCAATTGAAAATTTCTTGCTATTGCACAATACTTATTATATAATAATTTACACATCCTGTTTGGTGTGTATCTCCTACCATATCATTATAATTTGCTTTTAAATATAAATCAGAAATAACCAACTTAAAATGGAAAATTTTAAAAGAAAAAAAAAAGGAAAAAAAGAAAAAAAAGGACAAAACCCCCCCCCCCAAATTTTTTGAACCCCCTTATGATTTATCACCCCCAAACTCAATCCCAGCCTTCCCTTTGTGGTATGGTACCTTGCAGTACAATTTCAGAGAGATCCATACACTTGAACACAAGTTATTGTCTGGAAACTAGAAAAATGTGTTTTTTGGCCCCTTTTTGGCCCCAAATTCCTAAACAATTAGGGCAATTACCCCCAAACTCAAACCCAGCTTTCCCTTTGTGATATGGAACCTTGTAGTACAATATCAGAAAGATCCATACACTTACACACAAGTTATTGTCCTTAAACTAGAAAAATGATTGTTTTTTGCCCCTTTTTGGCTCCTAATTCCTAAAATATTGAGGCAATTACCCCCATCATCAATCCCAGCCTTCCTTTTGTGGTATGGTACCTTGCAGTACAATTTCAGAGAGATCCATACACTTGAACACAAGTTATTGTCTGGAAACTAGAAAAATGCTTATTTTTGGCCCCTTTTTGGCCCCCAATTCCTAAACGTTGTGGGCAATTACCCCCAAACTCAATTCCAGCTTTTCCTTTGTGATATGGAACCTTGTAGTACAATTTCAGAAAGATCCATGGACTTACACACAAGTTATTGTCATGAAACTAGAAAAATGCTTGTTTTTTTGCCCCTTTTTTTGCCCCTAATTCCTAATATTTTGAGGCAATTACCCCCAAAATCAATCCCAGCATTCCTTTTGTGATATGGAACCTTGTGGTACAATGTCAGAGAGATCCATACACTAACACACAAGTTATGTCTGGAAGTTACAAAAATGCTTATTTTTGGCCCCTTTTTGGCCCCTAATTCCTTTACTGTTGGTACCATAACCCCCAAAATCAATCCCAACCTTCCTTTTGTGGTATTGAACCTTGTGGTAAAATTTCATAGAGATCCATTCACTTAAACTAAAGTTAGAGTGCGAAAACCAATGTGTCTTCGGACGACGCCAGACGACGACGACGACGACGCCAACGTCATACCAATATACGACCACAAAAATTTTTTTGTGGTCGTATAAAAAGGGTGTAAGAGTATTACCTCTCGAAAAATCATAATAAGCTGCTGCTTGGCATCGATTTGCAGTGTTTTTACTACTAAAAAAAAGGGTGAGGGGTGGGAGTAGGAATCTGTTCCCACATATATATCCTGTGTGTCATTTACATTGTTAGGTTCAGCGAGGCCAAACATAATAATTCCATGCCAGATTTTTCACTGCCATTTTTGCTTTAAGATAATTAATCGACAAGAACATATTCCTATACTGACGGACTTTAAAACGCAACACTAGATTATTCTTTTTTACTCCCATTTTCAAACAGACAATTTTTGTAAAGTAAATGTATAAAGATAACTTTTATTCATTTCTTAATTGTCTGAACAAAAAGTTTGCAGTTCAAAAGTTGAACTCATGACGTCATTTTTAAAGTTTAATTCATGTGGTATATGCACTGAAACCCTGGTTTTCTCCTTATCAATGGATGTATCACCGTCGAAGACAATGACTGCCTGCCACCAACGTCAAAATGATTGTCAGAAAGGTCAACCAATTATGAGGGCATGTTTTGAGTTCTGTTTTGTACCTTTTGAATTTGCCTTTGCCCCATGCATTACAGTGTGTTTTAGCAATTAAGGGGTTTAAAATTAAGAGCTTCAAATGTTTTTCTGCAGTCGATTCTTTGGCATTTCAGTATATGGGAAACATTTTTGGCATGAATCTGTCTGCCATTGCATTTGTCGACTTGATTAGCAGTTGACGTTGCAGCCATAAAAAAGACTCGCAAATGATGTTGCATAATCAAATTTTATTGACGTTGCGTCGTCACTACATATTGATCTGGTCATGGATGGTCATCAACAAATCCTGACTGCCTGTACCGTTGTTTTTAGGACAGTTAAACGAGTTTCTGAGGTGAAATTGTCTGAAAACAGAACGTTCACGTATTCCTGCCTGCAATATTCCTGATTCAGATTTTCACTGCTTAGTCTCGGCAATATGGGGATGCAACATTTGTTTAATGATTCAAGTGTGGGTACAGATTGAACGAATTGTTTCACCAAAAAAAAATCCTTAAAAAAATCATTTGTTGGTTTCAAATTTCGCATTGAGAAATTCGTGCGAATTCAATAATCCGATATGTTACATGTACATAACCTCAGGTACGTCAGTTATTGAATTTTTCTAACCATAAAGAAGTATGGTAAGCATGAATAGTTGTTATATGAGGATCAATTGTGATTTGGTAAAAAAAAGTTCACCAAAATGTGTGTTGCGTTTCTAAAGTCTGTCAATATATTACGACCCATGAAATGCATAAAATTTGCATTAAAGTTTATTTTCATATTTCTTACACAGAACTAAAACAGACAATTAAAAAAGCTGTAGATTTAAGTACTATTCTTAATATCAAAGAAGCATGCAAGACTCATCAAATGATTTCATTTGGAACCTTTTTCTGCTGTTATCGATGGAAAAAAATAAAAAGTTTTTTTAAAATAAAATGTTTTACCTACCTACCCTACCTAATTTTTTTCGAGGTGAAATAGGAAACACACTATTTATTTATTTTGGCCTTATTTAAATGCATTCAAATGGTGTTTAATGATGAATATATACTTTAATTTCACTCGATACCTCTTAAGTCTGTAAAATGTATATAATTTGAAATTACAATGACCAATTTGTAGCTACCTATATTTCCGCACTTTCTGTGTTGCCATTTAGAACATACATCACACTCTATTGCTTCTTGTCGGGGTCTAACCAGAGAGTGGCACCATATACAATTGTCGTCTTCCATTGTGGTTATGAGAAACCTCACAAACATGCCCCATTTTATGAGGAAAGTGAGCTTTGAGACAACTCATGTCAGCTTATGTTTTGATAATCAGGAATTTCATTTAATAATAAACATTATACATTTAATTCCAAGCTGTTAAATTATATAACAACAATCAAAATTTAATAATATGATTAAACAAGTTGATTTTTGTCTAAGTTTTCATTAAAATCTGGTATAAAATTCAAAGATATTTTAATTTTTTGTATAAAGCTTAAAAAAAAATAATAAAATAAAATCTAGTATAAAATTCAAGTAATTCAACTTTTTTTATTAAGTTTACCAAAAAAAAAAATCATAAAACATTCGTATTTTTGAATATATTTTTAATGGTACGAGTTTGCAGTGGTACGAGTTCTGATTTGTACGACTTCCCAGTGGTACGAGTTCACGTTGGTACAAGTTAACTTTTTTGGTACGAGTTTACGTGGTACGAGTTTACAATGGTACGAGTTAACTTGCTTCCAAAGGACTCCGCCTCCGGTGTCCCATAATATTTGTCAATCACACTACATTCCCCTATTTTTATATTTATTTTAAATCCGTGAAGGATTTTTTTTAATTTTCCATACAAATCTTGATTGACACTGCACTTACCAATTAAACGATATATTGTGTTTTCACTTCTCCTCATGTCTGATTGCATTCCTTATCGCCGGAAAAGTGAGTGTGTAATGTTTACTTCCGGTGGTTAATCAATAAAGGAATACAAAAAACGTTTAACAAATCCGTGTAAGTAACATACTTTTGGAAGGAGCTCTACACAGGTATTATGAAAAGAAGAAAAAAATCCTTTCTGGATCTTCGATGCACCGATTAATACTAAATAAAATGTATTAAACGCATTTATTACAGGCTTAGCAAATTATTTTAAGCAAAAAACAAAATACAAAATACAAAAAAAATCCAGAGCATTTGTTTTTTAACATTATTTGAGGAGTAAAATATTTGTCTTAGATTAAGAAGCGATTCAACTGACAAGCACCTCGCTGATATCCGTCCAATATCTATGCACAGAAAACCAAGACAGGTCCTTATGACAGGATACAATGAAGTAGGGAACTATCCCCTGCATTTTTGCAAATTCTTAAAGCTATTGTTTGTACCGACTGAGCGCCACGCTAGAGGACAGAGACTATTTTAATAACAGTATGTAAAAACAAAAAATAACCTTAAATTTGGATAGAAATAGGATATGTGGTGAAAAAAAGGAGCAATGCTAGACTATCAACATAAATTTGATCCATGATGAATGTTTTCTGTACATTTCAAATATATGTAAAAAAAAAAGATAGAAGACTGTGACAACGACATGTAATCGGAAGTGAATATTTTATGTCACTTTTGTGGTGAATATAATAGTAATGAAATAAGAGAAAATGTAACAGCACGCTCGAGGGTTTACATATGAAGATCAGTCTAGTAATGAAGAGCAACTTCTACAAAAATCTTGTTTATCTTGGAATCAAATACAATAGGAGAAACAATCAATAAGAGTTGTCAATTCTTTAAAATTCAAATAAAATGTTTTTCTTTAAGAAATAAAAACACTAAAAATATCTAGGGTAAAAAACACCACACATGACCTCTACTCTAGATATGCAGGACAAACCGTATGGAATGAGTTACCAAATGAACTCCGGAAAGCCATGACGCTGGGACAGTTCAAAATTGGAAACCATAGAACGGTACCTCACTCGTGCGAATGTCGATATTGCCAATCAGAATGATCTGACATTTATAATATTCATATTTTAATCTTTAAATTTATTGTACTGGTGCTATGGATTTTTTTAGCGCTATTATGATATCAGTGTTATGCTTTTATATAGTGCATAACTCAGGTTAGTTCTTTCTGCTGACAAATGCATAGAGTGCTTTTAGTATTTGTGCTTTTTAACTTATGTAGTTTTAGTTACCAATTTTATTTAGGGGCCAGCTGAGGACCACCTCCGGGTGCGGGATTTTCTCGCTGCGTTGAAGACCCATTGGTGGCCTTCAGCTGTTGTCTGCTCTTTGGTCGGGTTGTTGTCTCTTTGACATTTTCCCAATTTCCATTCTCAATTTTATTAGTTAGTTGTGTTTGTGCTTTGTATCGATCTGATGAGTAAAGCCCTTTCAATTGATTTGTATATAGTTCGTTCTTATGTGCTGTTTCACCACTATCCGAGGTAAAGGAGAGGATCGGGCGGCCACAAAAAATATGTAACCCCGTCAAATGCTATGTATGTGCCTGTCCCAAGTCATATCAGTCACCAGTGGCGGATCCAGAGGGGGGCGTAGAGGCGTACGCCCCCCTTTGCTTGCACTTTTTTTTTTTTTTTTTTTTGTAAAATGATTAATCAGACTAGACTTCGTGAACTTTGCCATTTTCCGCGTATTTAATTTTTATGCGGCAATTCTTTACTTATAAAGATATGTTTCGCTCGTATTTACTGTAATATATTATTGATTATGTCAAAATCATGTGATTCGCTACGGTGGAGTTGACCAGTGCGTCGAAAAAACGTCACTCAGTCTTTTTGAAATTCAAATTACAGTAACTCATTGCTTAGGCTGAGGATGACAAGCATGACACCTTCAAAGCGACAAAGGATTGAGCAAGAACGTATTTATTGACTTCTATTTCACAATTCCACCGAACAGAAAGTAATACTCTATTAAACTTTCATGGAAAAAAAGTTCCACAGCAATATTATTTACCTACGAAAACATGTTTAACCCAACACGCCCCAGCCTATTAATAACATAGCTGAATAATGATCCCCAGTCAATAAGCTCTAGATAGATTTAAAGTCTAAGGTACGGACCATTTTATTTGAGGGGGCAGTCTGAGATGTTTGAGAGAAAAAATTCTGACCCTGATTTTTGCCTTAAACAAAAATTCTGGCCGTATCTGGATTGAAAACAATAATCTTGTCCATTTTTTTTTTGCTATTAGAAACAAAAATTTCCAACAGATTAATTATTTAGCATTAAATGAACAAGATGAATAAAAAAACGGGCGTAATTTTTTTGGGGCCGGGGGTTTGCATGTAAATCCCATATCTGACTGGAATGTCTGTTTCGTCGAACTGATAAAATGAATACTTTTTCAAGGCCCGACTGCAACCTGTCTGCTGGGTGTGGCCTTTGTGTCTCCATTTGTCGACCGTCATTCATATATCCGTTGTCATTTCAGACTCATTCGTAGCCTTTGGTTGATTTGAAACCTCTAACTTCCCTTGTTGGGTGAAACATTTCAACCAAACATTTGGATAAAAATTGCTTGTTTGTCTTTCTTAACTCGTGTCGGTCGTATTGTAAATTTCATTGAATAGCCCGGCGTATATCTTGTTTACAACAAGAAATCCGTGACGTTATGCTAACTAAACATACAACAAACGAGAATTTTCCATGTCAATGTTTTACTGACAAGTCCCACATGAAATATATTAGTACAAAGCTTTGGATCCATCTAATCATTTTATAATAGACAATTAATGGGGAGAATACGGCATCAAAAATGTCCAACCCTTACACTTTAACTATAAAATATACATGCCTTACGTCAGGAACCGTTAAAAAAAGTGCATTTTACACTTATGTTATGTCTTTTAGCCAAAAAAAGGTCCAAAAAAATTTTCGCCTCCCTCCGCTCGGCAATCTTTTCATACTTCGCCCCCCCTTTCCAAAATCCTGGATCCGCCCCTGGTCACCTGTAATTCATGATTGTCGTTTGTGGCTGTATTTTGTGTTTGTTTTGTTACATAATCAGCCGTTAGTTTTCTCTTTAAATTGTTTTACATTTGCCTCGACAGGGCCTTTTATGGTTTGCTCATCTCTATGTTTTATATACCTGAACTACTGCTTAAATCTCTTATTAAGTTTTGCTGCTGTGAATGTTTGTCTTCTATCTATGAGGGTCTGATGGGGTTTACAGAATAGAGAATAATGTGCATAATGTGCAGAATACAGGGCTAAAAAACAAAGAAAATAGAGAAAAATGGGGTGCTAAAATATATATAGCTGTTGTCTGCTCTATGGTCGGGTTGTTGTCTCTTTGACACATTCCCCATTCGAGTCCATTCTCAATTTTAGAATAGAGAATAATGGCCTATAAAATTAAAAAATACAGAAACGAAGGACACCCCATCCACACCCTCGTCTATTTATTCGCTTTGGTTCATGTAATGTACAAGTATACGATCTATAAATCTTCTATGCTCTATGCTATATAAAATTTATTAGTTTATTGGTAACATTAACTGTCTCAATTTTACCGCACCATATGCGCATTTCGACAATTAACGTCTCTTCGGGAAAAAATATTTGAAATCTCAACCTTATTACAAACGACGAAAAATTGATAAAACCAAAAATGACTAAAAGTAAATCCAAACGCGGGAAAGGAATCAGAGCTATATAAGCACTAGGAAGATACATATGTAAGAATATTAGTAAGTCTTCAGTTGATATTTTATAGTGTGTCTTTCTATGTTGTGATGTTACACTATTGTTTCAGAAAAAGGATGAAGGTTTGGTACCATTAAAACGTTTAAACCCGCTGCATTTGGTTGCACCTGTCCTAAGTCAGGAATCTGATATTCAGTAGTTGTCGTTTGTTGATGTGGTTCATAAGTGTTTCTCGTTTCTCGTTTTTTATATAGATTAGACCGTTGGTTTTCCCGTTTGAATGGTTTTACACTAGTAATTTTGGGGCCCTTTATAGCTTACTGTTCGGTGTGAGCCAAGGCTCCGTGTTGAAGACCGTACTTTGACCTATAATGGTTTACTTTTATAAATTTTGACTTGGATGGAGAGTTGTCTCATTGGCACTCATACCACATCTTCTTATATCTAGTTACTATAGACATCAGAAGTCATTCAAGCCTATTCAGATGTTGATACACCTTTCTGCTCAAGTAACTACATGATAAAGATATGAGCTGCGTCAGATAAAAATCGACATTATGCAAGTGCACGTATACATGTACATGTACATGTATAAGACTTTGATTGATTTTGGAACATTCAAATACGAAATAAAAGATGAATTTTGGTCTGCTTTGTAAGGTTCTTATATCAACTCAATTTTCAAACAGTAACAGACTTTACATAGAGATTTTTCAACCCTGAAAAAAGCTAACAGATGTATTGATATTCATTTGCATAACATGCATAAGGTCGATTTCTATCCGACGCAGCTCATATCAAATTTTAATTTTAATCGATACAAATACATAAGCAACTTGACAATTTCCTCACATGGTTGAAAAACATTAAAAGGGTTTCCTTCCGGTGTCGATAGGCTAAATTGGTCAGGAATATCTATTTGTCACTGCACCTTAGATCAGCCAATAGTCACGCGATACAAGTGTGGATATAAGTGAAGAGGGTCTGATGGGGTTTACAGAATAGAGAATAACACACAAAAAGGTGCAGAATAAAGGGCCAAAAAAAAAAAAAAAGAGAAAATGAGAGAGAAAAAAAGAACAGAGCATAATGGGGTACTTGAATTTAAAGAATATAGAATAATAGGACAAAAATATAAAGAATAGAGAAAAATGGGCTAAAAAGTTAAAGAATATAGAAATGAAGGAACTACCACACACACCCTCAGTGAATAGAAATTAGGGTTGTTAATAAGACTAGGTATTATTATCAGTATGATTATTTTAAAACGAACTTAGTT